GCGGGGGCAGCGGAAAATCCCATGTCTCCCTGGAGCCACCCCATCCCCCCACCCAGGGAAGCCCAACCGAACCTAACCTGTCCAGGCCATTAGATGATTTATAGGTCAGAGATGCCAAACCGAAGTCGAAAAGGAAAACAAAAGCGAAACCGAAATCGAAATCGAGGCCCGGCAACAACTGCAACATCGATTGACAGGAACTGCAGCCAAAGGACTTGCACGGCCACAGAAAATTGGACACTAAACTTGTCAACATTTTCAGGGCACTTAAAAAAACAAATTTGGAGACTGTATAAAACAATTATGTTTATTTAAATCTTGTAATTTAAGATCAAATAATTCAGGATGCCATAAAACTGTTTGACAAATTTGTATCTAAAAAAATTATGTTTTAAAGACAACGACTTTAAATTTAGTAAATTATTAATGCCAGAATTTACTGCTAATAAATAACTAAACCACAAAAATCCACAATTATATTTACTACATATTCTTATAAATTTTTTTACAGTGTCTTTTTTGGGTCTCCCAAAATGGAAACAGACACTTTATGGACATGCCAGCTCCATCTCTCCCATTCGTTGCCGCCCTTGGTCAGCTGTAATTAACAAAAATTGCTCTAATGAAAAATACTCGGGTAAATGTGGATTGCATTGACAGCAGTCAGGTAGAGATATATATATATTTACTATATATATATGCCACACATATTGAACTCAAAGGGAGAGAGGAACCGAGAATGTGTGCCATTGTTTTGCGCGCTCCTGTTGTTGATTAATAATGCAGTCGACGTTGGAACAAAGGATCGGACGGATTGGGGTCAAAGCTCGGTCAAGTCTGGTCTCTAAACCAGCTTTGATATGCAAAGAGCATTGCCATTGTTTTGCCAAAGGCATTTAATAAAGGAAAGTGATTTAGTTAGTCCAATATAAAGCCAAATGAAGTTTTGAACTTAGAAATTCTGTATTTAGTCAATGTGTTTTCAAATTACTTAAGAAACAGTTCTTTGATTATACTTTATCAAAGGTTTTTAGCATTTCAAGACTTATTATTTATTAAATAATAAAATTTGTTGTACAGTTTAACTCATGTTATTTCTTTAAATCTTTAAAACCTTTTCTAGTCAGCTATCTACGATGTGCTTTCTCCGCCTTCTCACACTTTTATAACTTTACACATTCCCATATCGCCCTCCCATTCCTTGCATATTAACTATTCATAACTTTGTGAATTCAATTTTAGCAACCAGTTGCCCCCACACTCCCGATTCAATCAAGGTATTCCCCCGACTCGGACTCCGATCCCTGCTGGACCAGGTAAGCACTTTAAGGTGTCATATGGAGCTAATGTGCTGGAATCTGCTCGACAAAAGTTTTTCGGGGGGTAGAGAGGTATATTCAACAATGAAACCCTCGCTGAATAGAGCTGACCACAGCAGGATATCGCAGGTGTCGGCAGGACATAAATTCAAATTTTGCAACACAACTTGTTTCCCAACTGGAAACGGTGAAAGCGAAGGGAAAAAATTGAAATTAAAAAATTTTCACCTGCAGGACAATAACAAGGCACCCACATCAAGCATTCGTCCTGTTGGCATTTGCTCTCACTCCATCTCCGGCACTGTTTGCATCTGTGTTTGCCAATGTCCTTCGTGAGTCCAATGTGTGTATGTTTGTATGAATATTCGGTTGGCCCTTGCTTCGTTATTTGCTCGCATTACAATTACCAAAGGACCAAAAGGACCTCGCCGCCCGTACATGTACGTGTACACGTACGCAATTTGTTAGCACACCTCCACCTCGTGTTAGTTTGCCCAGTTACACAAACAAATTAATTTCAGCCAGACACTCGAAATGTTTAGAACATTTGCCAATGTTTGTAATTGAATATTGCGCCGGGACATGGCCGAATGTCCTTCCACCACCCACTCACATACACCAGTGGGTCAAATTATGCAAAAGTAATTATGATTACGGCGTCGCATTGTCGATGGAACACTAACTAACTAGCATCGAGGTTGGCCTGTCACACTAATGGACAAAATGATGCGTGGCGCTATAAAATTCACTGGAGAATTTAATTACAAAATGGACATTTTTTGCAATCCGAAAAAAGAGAAGTTTTGTTCCAAATAATTAGTGCTCAGTAAGTACTCGAAAAATATTGATAGCATTGAATGATGGGATTTCCAGTGCTCATAAGATATTGAGTAACTCTTCTAATTAAACCTTTTTGCAGTTGGCAGAGCATCGAATATTTTTGAAAAATTCAGTAATTAAATTCGTTGCAATTTTTCTGATGAAGAGGGAATTCTTCATCTTTTTGCTTAAGCCTGAAAATAAAATGTGTAAATTAAATTCCACTTTAATACAGATTTAAATGCACAATTTCTCATGAAATCATATTCGGAATACATTTCAACATAATTAAAAGCAAATAAAACCGTAGCTAAGCCTAATATATTTAATCAGAGAATCATATAATATCCTGATAATTAAATATTAAAATCTAACCACACTTAATCCAGCAGATTATATGTAAATAATTCAGCAATTAAAACTTGTGCAAATACAAATATTAAAGCCCAATTCCCACAAAAAAAAAAAAAAACAAAATATATAAAAATGTACACATAAAAATATGTATTTCCTTTGCTTACTATTTTATTTATTTGCCAGCGGAAGTTTTGAAGCCACACCAGTGTACAGGATATTAAAAGGACACGTAGTCATGCATGTAAAGTCCCAAGGGTCGCATATGGAGGCTGTCCTCCCATTGCCCTTCGCTCATTTCCCACAGTTTTTCCGACTCTCTGTTTTTGGGGACAACGAGGGCACTGACTTGCCAAAAACGAAAAAAAAAACCTCATATCCAAAAAGTTTTTTGCACTAATTTTTATTTTGTAAGTTTTTGGCCGAGAACTTCTTTTGAGAGCTGGCAGGACGTTAAGTGTTAAAGGCGCCTTTGTGGGCCACAGAGAGAATTTTAATTAAAACTCCTAATGAATTTTTAACACAAACTCTGACGCAACTTAAAGAGCAGGAGTCAGCAGCCAAAAAAGCAAGAGACAATCCCCGGAGTCAGCGAATTGCCTGTGGTTGTTCTTTGCTTCCTTTGCCTTCTCCCGCTTCCAGTATAAGTTTTTTCTCTGTGGCTGAAATTATGACCACAGGAAAAGCGCCAAAAAGTCATCACGTGACCACACAATTGTGTGGTCAACACGTTGACCGCCTGGCAGCGATCCCTTTGGCACAGGACTCCGTCGACCTCCTTCGTATCCCCCTCGTCCTGCCGAAATTCGTTGCTAATGACATTTCAACTATTTTAATCTTCACCCTCGCTTGGCATTAATTAAATAGCAATTTCTTTGGGCTGCGGTTTTCTTTTCGACTTCAAGCATGTGGGAAAACTCGCACAAACACTCACAAAGGGAAAGGCAGTCTTTGGAGATAAGCCCAAACAACTTCCGATTAAATTGACAAGCCAATTAGCTAAGGACTCTCCGGGCAGACCATAAATACTTCGAATATCCGGCAAACAAACAACAGCAGGAGATTGCATAAATCTCCGACTGGAAGGGCACCCAAAAAAAACAACAAAAAACAAGAGAAAAGCAGCGGAAATGGGAAAGCAAGCGATTGCCAGGATAACAAAGCGCCAAGGATGCCGGCTGTCTGCATTAACCCGATGGCTGCTCTTGGCATTATTTAAAATCACAGAGCCTTCAAATTGCATTTTAATAGAATTTATTGCGCCGAACCGATTTCGGCAAACGAGGAAAATACCCAGAGCGGAAAAATCGCAAAAAATCCCTTTGGAAAAAAGCGAGTTGCAGTGGGAGGAGAAGCAGAATAATTGCGCGAGACTGCAACACTTGACTTTCCATGTTGTTTGAAGCAATAAAATGCTATTCTCAAGCAGTCGCATTGATATGCCAGCTAAAGGAAAGTGGAAACCGGGAACCGGGAGCTGGGAAATGGAAACTGCCGGCAGCCGAAGGATGGCGCGAAAAGGATACGAAAGGATAACAATGCCAGTGCTCCCAGCTGAGCGAGGGCCCAGGCTCAGTGCACTGGAGCGCATCAATTCCGCCATTTCACAATTCAAAATGCGAAATCCGTTGCCAGGACGCGAGATGCAACCAACGGCAAGGAGAACACAAATTATTACTTGGCTTCGCTCCAAAATGTTTTAAATTACAATTTGCAAAATATATTTATACGTCTTGCACAGCAGGTCGCCGGGAAAATGCTTAAATGCGGGATGAGGGCAGATGGACAGAGGGAAAACTGCACCCGCAGGAAGCCATTTAGTTCGGCTTTCCACCACCGCACCACCCCCTGGGGCGAGGCCATAATTCTTGCATAAAAAATCAACAACCAAATGGCAACTGTTGTCTGTCGGCCTCAAGATAAACTTTGCTTGCCACTTTTGTAAATAATTTATCTGCTCTTGGTCACCACTGCGTATGCGTAATAATCGTAATTAATGTGGGAGGACTCACCAAGAAAATGTAAAGAAAGCTGCAGAAAGGAAATTAAATAACGGAACTCACAGAGAAATGCAGATGTATAAACCCGTCTTAAATTACTGTAGTTCTTTTTACACTAACTACAAATTTTATGTTAATTATTAAAAAAGACCTTTAGGAATTTTGCATTCAATAACTTGTAAACTAAACCACAGCTAGTTTATTTTATTATTATATTAGTTACATGGTTAACAGCTTAAAATGATAATTCATTGATTTTAAATGTACATATATTATTCCTTTTATTAACATTTTATGGTCCATACTGTTTTCATGGCAAAACTAATGAACAATTGTAAGCAATGTCATTCCTACTTAAGGCAAGGCTACGTGACTAAGTAACAAATATAAAGAATTTTTAAAAAGGAAATAAAACTGATAAGCTGAATATATATAAGAGGAGTTTACTATCCAATAGCCCCAGTTTTCCCTGACCTTAGCTCGACGGAACACTGTATCCCGCTTGAAAATGCCATTCAGGATCCTGGCTCTACTCCTATCAGTAATCCTACCTTTTGGGCACTTGGACTTGGTCCAAGGCACTGCCATAAACATCACAGAAGCTCCCTGGCAGGCATCGGTTCTGGTGAACGACAAGCATCGTTGCGGGGGAGTGATCTACAGCAAGGATGTCGTCTTAACCATTGCTCAGTGTGTCAAAGGTGTCAGAACGGGTAACCTCGCTGTTCGAGTGGGATCCGACAAGAAGGACCTCGGCGGTCAGGTGCTACCAGCAAACAGGGTGGTCACGCAAGCGTTGGGCCTGCTTCCCAGTGATGTGGTCATCATAGCACTAGAGAAGTCCATTGATTTGGATGACAATGCCAAGTCCATTGATCTGGCCAGTAGGTTGCCCAAGCTGGATACTGAGGCCTCAGTAACTGGCTGGACAGAGGTGGTGGGCGAAGACCCCGCAGAGGAATTTTTAATGAGAACAAACGTCACCGTTGTCGAAAATTTAGAGTGCAGGAGCGATGGTTTCTTTATAAAGCGGATTCTAAGGCCCAATGAACTGTGTGCCTCGAAATCAAACTCTACTAATGTCGCCTGTCAAGGGTTCTCCGGCAGCCCCTTGGTCTCTGATGGAAAGCTGATTGGCATCGCATCCTGGAACGTGAAGTGCGATTTTCTCCAATCACCCAGTGTGTATGCAGATATCGCGGTGATTAAGCCATGGATCAGCAGCACCGCTAAGCTATTGAATGTTTTTTAAAACAAAAATAAACATTTATTCAGCTGAATAAGCACTTGAGAAAAGCAAACCGATTTATGTAATCAAAAGCCAGTCGCTATTTTACATAAACTCTGAAATCATAAGCCAAAATGGAAATATAAATCTCTGAAAAATAGGTTTGCCCAAAAAAAGGCATATTTATATTTACAAATTGTTTTCGTTTATCCAAAAAACGTATACAAGCTCTCAATTTTTTTTTGTTCTGCATTGCCGCTTGAATTCCGAAATTGAAATTTAATTCATTTGCATTTTATTCTATGATCTGGGGAGTGCGCCACGGATGAATATTATTAATACGGCCCATAAGCCCAATAAATGCTCATGATTCAGCGCTGCGCCGTTCGTTGCTCGCGCAGTTGTTCTCGCCGTTGTTGGCATTTTTGTTTCTGCTGTCACTGGATGCTGTGCATTTTTTATGGTTATGAGCTTTATTGTAATGACCATTAAAATTGGCATTGTTATGACCGTTGTCAGCCAAGAGCCGTGGGCCATGAGCCATGTAGGGGGTTTGACCCACAGAGAATGACAGAGGGAATGAAGCCAAGGATGCGGCGGAAATTGGATTGGTAATATGAGTTTAAATTTAAAAATGTTGCGATTAATAAATATATTTTAATGTACTCGTTAAAATAATATAAAATTAAGCATTTAATTATATTAGTAAATAAAAAAACAAACTCATTTTTGTATAATATAGTTTCTAGAGCTCTTGAAAGTAATTCAAACCTCTCATGATCCATGGTGCACCGCTTTTTACTCTTATTGTTCCCATATCCCACCGATATCCTTTGTATCCCTGCCAAAATCAGCAGGAATACAGCTACAGATGCTGCATTGTCAGCTTAATAATTACAGCACACACACACACGCACAAGCCGTTGCATCTGCATGCAATTTGAACAGGGAAAACTCGCTGGCTGGCTTGCAGAAAACTGGAAACTGAATACGGAAAACTGAAGGGAAAACCTGCTGGAAAAGTGGCAGACATTTGCACGTCGTCAGCGTCGACACATTAAAATAAATGAGACTTTTGCCTTAAAGCAGCTGCCGCTGTTGTTGCTGCGTTGCAATTATTATTGCCACTTTTGTTGCTATTGTTGTAGCTGTTGTTGCTATAGCAAGAACATTTTCACGTTTTTCGCAACGCCTTGAAAATTACACGCAAATTACAATGCATAACGAAGAAGGTTTTCACAGTGCGAGAGCGAGTGAGCGTTACTTCCTTCGCCCTTCGACTTTTCGTTTTTCCCACAATACCTCCCATGACCTCATTTACCCCTAGTTTAACATACAACAGAAAACAAAAAAAAAATGAGAGAAAGGAAATAAAACAGAAAACACAAATTGAGAAAATGCGAAAATTCGAGTCTTCTTAATTACATTGTAAAATGCATTGGCAGACGATACGCTGCTGCGCCCTGTTGGAACTGCAAATTCCAATCTGCTGTTTGGGAAACCCAGGGAAATTCCACACCTTTTCTCTTTTTCGTTGCGGTAATTAAATTGAACTTTTGTCTGCGGCTTTTTGACAGCTGAATGCATTTAACCATTCGGCAGGGTATACAATGGCCCAAAGACCTGCAGGAAACTGTCTGAAACTTAATGCCAGGTGCATGAGTTCGGGGTTTCAGTTAAGATTTTAAATGCTTAAGCTGCTTTAAATATGAAAATCATATCCCAAATTAAACTGAAAACCCTTATCTACATAATGTAAACAACTAAAATGCAAAATGGGAAATGTTCAATAAAACCTGCGCATAAAATATATTTTCAAATTTTCAAATTGGTAAAACCGCAGCTGTGACAATTACTTTTTTGTAGGTCAGCAATGATGTAGGTCACACAGCAAGCGCCATATAATCTTCACAAATTTAATAATTTAATATTGAATATATTTTCAATAATTAAATTCATTACCCACATTTTTCGCCATGATTAAATTAATATTTTGCTGGGAAAATGCCAAGAGGAACCTGTTTAATGGCCGCCATTGGGTTGCCAGGGATTCGGAACAGCAACAGTATATGGAAACATCACGTACATCAGGATGCCACAGGACAACAAGTCGCTGGGGTCTCTTGCTGAAATTAAAAAAATATACCAAAAATTTACCATAAAAATTCATAGTCTACTTTTTGAAGCCGCCCTTATCATCACGCTTTTTCTTTTCGCTGAGCTTTTTTTTAGCTAGGTAAATATATGTTTTATATATATACATGTTCCTGTTCCCTTTTCCCGTTGTTTTGAGCGTTTTCCCATTTTCGTTGAGTTGCTTTTATTGCAGCCAGCAGAAATTTCTGTGGCATGATGCCAACCAATTTTGACGTGATGCCAGTAACACGGATATATACATATATATATATACATATATCTCTCTCTATACATATATATGTATGTGTTTGTGTCAGTGTGTGACTTTGGATATTTGCCATGGTGTGTTTGTCACTTGTTGACGGCGTGAAACTGAAGCCAACAGCAACAGTCGCTCGTCCTTCGGCTGTTGCTCCTTAAAGTGGTTTATTGGGTTAACGGTTACGGTTACGGTGGCGGTTGCGTCTACGCTTAGGTGGCTTTAAAGTTTTAACTGAAGGTAATGCACAGGCTTTAATGTTCTGCGAATCGGTGGTCGGAGAAGAATCACCGGCTCTAATCCCATTTTACACAGATTTTTTAGGATTTAAAGTTGTTAAAAGAGAACTGATGGCAGCTGGAATAGTTAAGGGATAAGAGATTTAAGGATCTGCCAGTACTTTGTAAGGGTTGTAGTCCACACCATGATAATTACTCATTAAAAAACTTCTACCTCTTTAGGGGTTTAATAGATAACTTTGCTTTAAAAATCAAATCACCATTTTCATCAGGAATTAAAAGCAAAAATCAATTAGGATTTTATTAAGAAACGCGAACCCTAAGCTATAAATATAAAGAATGGAAATTGAATCATAAATATTCTCATCCTTCCCCAAATTCTACGCCCATCTCTTTCCCAACTCACAATGGCGTGAAAACTCACTGCCTCGGAAAAAAAATTCCATTTTAATTTCCATGCCCAAGTGACAAACAGTCAATCAAAAAGCAGGCCACGGGGGACAGGTCAGAGGGCACGCTGCTACCATAACTCCACCTTGACACCTTTGTGACCCGACGCCACCCGTCGCTGCTCGCGGATATTTATGGTAGAAATTTAAAATTAATGATGTGTGACGTGAAATTGTCGCCAAAAAAAGAGAGAGTCGGGGAAAAAGTAATGCAGAAAAATTAAACAGAGAGAGAAGAGCGTACAAAAGGCATCGGGACTAGCGGGAGGACATCCGATTTAAGTATGACGCAGCAGACATTCAGTTTCGTCTTTCCCTAACACTTACAGAATTCCTAGAAAATTGCTAAGAAAAATTAACGTAAAATGGAATGTCCTGAGAATGAGCCCCTGCAATTGCTTCAGCACAACAATGCCAAGTTCATAACCTGCGATCTCCGGAAAAGAGACCTGGAAACCTGTCGAAGCAGTCTCAAATCCACTTGCCAGAATCCCATCAGCGTGTATGCTAATAACCGAATTTATCTGGCCTGCGAGGTCAAGGGGTCACTGCCGGAAATCTCCAAGTGGTCAAATTATGCAAAGCTCTTCAGGCCATTGCCAAAAATAAACTCTAGGAAAAATAAGAAGATTTGTAACCCCCAGTGGCAGTGGAGCGGTGCTAAATATTGTATTGCTCCGCCACTAAGGCAGAGTCCACCACAAAAAGAATCGTCTGAAAAGGATTTACATGAACAAGTAACCAAACAATTTAAATATCAACCCAAGGCTATTAAGCGAGCTGTGCTTAGAGAAACCAACAAGTACAGGAAACTTCATCGTGCGAGTCCTTTAAAAATGAACGATAATCTCTCTAAATACGCACAAGACTGGGCAAACGTATGTGGAATTTATATACTTTTACTTGGTTTTTCTTAAGTAATTTATTTTCTTAATCGATGCCCCAGCACCTGGCCTACTATGATCGTCTTGAAACCCGACCTTTTCCGATTTATGGCGAAAATATCATGTGTATTCGTAAGCCAATATTTTCCATCGAGCATATGATGAAGCTCTGGTACCAGGAGAAGTACCACTACGACTACATGGATCCCTGTTTTAGCCCATACACCGGTCATTTCACCCAGATGGTGTGGAAAGATACTGAATATCTTGGCGTGGGAGTGGCCTCCAAGTAAGATAATTCCAATACATAGCCTGAAATCATAAAAAAACGCTTTTTTCCAACTCAAGTGATTCCTGTATTTGGATTGTGTGCAATTATGATCCACCTGGGAACACAAGAGGCCATTTCCAGGAGAATATTCTGCCCCGAAGCCTACTTTATAATGCATCCACCGGGGAGGATGAGAAGGAAAAGAAAAAGATTTCATCACCCAAAACTCAATGGAAACAAAAGAAATCCCATTGTCAAAAAGTTACACTTTGTTTTTGCAAGAAAAATAAACAAGAATTATAAGCACCAGCTGAGTTTGTTAATTTTAAATTATATTTGCTTTTAATCAAAATAAAACTACCTTAAATACTGGACCTCTGATGTTTTTATTTACAACTTTTTTTGTGGTACATTATCCTTGAATAGGCCCCCAACATTGCCAGGAGGATTGTAATTGCAAACGACCCAGGTTCTGTCATCTCTGATGTAAATAAATAAAAACAAAAATATTACTAGACTCTAGATTCTCACTCACCTTCGAGCCACACCGGTACCCACTTCCTTGGAGGCCTTCCAAATTAGTTGTGTAAAATGTCCTGCAGTTGGCACGAATTCAGCCTTGTCAAAGTTGTAGCTATTGATTTCCCGATACCACATATTCACGGGCAATTCCCCTTCGACATCCATTCCACCGGAAAGGAATATATTCTCGCCGTATTTGGGATTGGGTCGGTGTTGCATTATGTTTTTGTCTCGCAGATGCTATTGAAGAAATAATACAGATTAAGCCAAATTCTTAAACAAAATAATAATAGAAAACTCTTTATACATTAGCCCATTCTTGAGCCAATTTATTCAGTTCCGCATTCACAGTCAAGGCCGGACAGCCATGCATTGCCCGGAGTTTATTGGTGGTGTTTAAGACATCCTTCAGGAAGACCTCATTGTTGGCATTGGTGTCCGCGCCCCGGGGTCCTGCAGCTTGTTCAACTAAAACTACCATAAACGCTGCAACTCTTCTAACGATTTTACCTACTGACTTTTACGTGGTACATTATCCTTAAAGTTTCCCACAATATTGCCGGCGGGATTGTAATTGCAAACAACCCAGGTCTTGTCCGCTCTAATACAAATTAACAAAAAAAAGAGCTAATTTCTAGTCACAAAGTAAAAACTCACTTTCGAGCCACACCGGCGCCCATTTCCTTGGAGGCCTTCCAAATTAGTTGCGTGAAATGTCCTGATTTTGCCACAAATTCAGCCTTGTTAAAGTCATAACTACTCATTTCCCGATACCACATTTCTACGGGCAAATCCCCAGCAACATCCATTCCGCCGGATAGGAATATATTCTCGCCGTATTTCGGATTGGGTCGGTGTTGCATTATGTTATTGTCCCGCAGGTGCTGGAAAAAATAAATATGCCAAATGATTAAACAACAAATTGTAAGAACTTTTAGTACATTAGCCCATTCTTGAGCAAGTTTATTTAATTCCGGATTCACAGTCAAAGCCGGACAGCCATGCATTGCCCGGAATTTGTTGGAAGCGTTGAGGACCTCCTTTAGGAAGAGCTCATTGTTGGCCTTAGTGTCCACGCCCCGGGGTCCTACAGCTCGTTCGTGGGTTTTTGGTATTTGCTGTGGGCGTTTGTGGGCCATTTTCTATAGTGTGTCCTTCGTCTATAAGATTTAGGGAAGCTGAGGTCCAGTATTTCCAAGTCTAACTTATATCTAGTGTCATTAGATCCAAACTAACTAGATTTGTCTTTGATAATAACAAATTAAAAAAATGTAGAATTTTAGAGAATGACAACTTAATAAAGGTTTATTTCTGTTCATATATCTTTCTCTGAATACTCATCAGTCAGGCTGGGAATGGAAACCCTTTCAACCCGCTCACATAATCCCACCTAAACATCGGGATTAACATTGTGATTGATACCGCAAACACAGAGTGTGGGGCTCTGGGGCCAAAGTATCGAATCCATAGACACAGATTAGACAGACTGTCAGAGGGAAGAACTTCCCGCATCCTCATCCGCATTTACATCCACGCCAGCCCACTTCACGCACAGCTCCTGCTGTCTTTGACGAATGGATTAACCAACGTGACGTATGAGTGATGTATGAACGCAGCGCCCGGTTATTAATGAGCCACCGATTCTTTGCCACGACCTGGAGCCCCATATGTGAGCAAATCGGGGAATCAGAGTGGCATTAATTGCCAATTGAGTCGGTTTGAATAATGCCAGAAGCGAGTGACATGGAGGCTGCTTATCAACCGCCCGCAGCTCCATTTATCGATGTGCAAATTTCGATGTCGGAACATTAAATTATTTACGTATATGTATGTGTCTCTGGGCTGAGCTGGACGGGACAGGGCAAGTGTGAATCCTTAATGAGTTGGGCAAATGCAAATCAACAGCACTGTGCCCTACGGAGATTAAGCCAGTAGAGTCCGATATATGTACGATGTGCGTGTGGGGGAATATAGCTGCAGGAGAAGCTCATTCACTCAAATTATCCGTGTTGCCCGGAGCAGAGATCGGATGTGCAATTCACTTCTATGGCAGGCACTAAATAATGGCCTCATAGATACTGATGTAGATTTAATCCTTTAATTTAATTTAGCCGAGTTGTCAATTGAATTAAGTGGTTTACTCATTTAGATTAATTTAAAAATGTAAATTCATTGAATATTTAATTGATTTTGAAGTCTTTCTGATAATCGGAATAGTGAACAAAGTACTGGGAAGTCATTCATTAAATTTCTCATATATATATATATTGGTTGATTTAAGGCAAACATCTGTGGTTTAAAAATAAATCTTTGACATTAAATTATAATTTGTATATGCTTAAATTTTTTAAAACTTTAATACCTTTCTCAATACATATAAACTTCATTAATTAAAAGAGTTTTATTAATAGGCATCTCTACCTTAATATCTCCCATTTAATTTCTGAAAAATCGGACTTCCTTTAATCCTGTGCACTGCATTTCAGGTTGCCATGCCTACAATCTCTACTCCCCATAGGGTGGTCTTTCACAGTCGCATCATCCGCACAATTCACAATTGCGATATGGCACGGAGTGGAGTGGAGTTCAGTGGGTGCCGGTCCGTGGTTGAGTGATTCCCCGGGCTCGGCGGTTGGGCGGGTGAATTGTTTGGGTTGTAAAACCCGGCCGCAGTCAAAGCGTAAAACGCAAAGCGCACACGTTACTTTGCTGTCGATTTAATTAATTTCGCAAATTTGGTTTCGTTTATTTATGCATTGCTGGCAAAGGGGAAGGAGAACGACACATGCAATATAAATACACCGATGCCGGGGATGTCCAATATGCGGGCATTATACACAGCCAGACATACATATGTATATAGGTTCTGATATCTGGGCAAACAGCTCGCATTTCCATCTCGATTCGATTCACTGACAACCGCACGGCATCTGCTGCCGGATGCGCTCGATTGCACTAGCTCCGATTGGCGATTGCCAGGATTCAGGATTTAATTCCGGATTCCCATTGATATGATTCCGCCGTGTTTTGTAATAAAGGAAATATCAAAAAAATAAAGTACAACAAAGCGAAAGAGATGCGTTTTTTATGAGGCTTAAATGTGAACAAAAGAGGCGGAAATTAAATGTTTTACTTTCAAACTGAAATTTATAAAGGCCACAAATAGCGATTATTTTAATTTCATTCGAATTATTGAAAAACACTAGCAGTTATACATTTTGTAATGACAAGTAAATGAATTTTTATCTTAAATTGGAACCGAATTCATGTTTAAATATTTATTGCGAGTATTTCAGTAACTTTTCCCTTGAAAATGCAATACCATCAAGGAAAATGTCTGTCAGCGCTAAATGAAAGCTCTATTTCTCTTGAATCTCGCTGAATCCGATTACAATAAGTCTTATGACATCCCACTTTCACTTTGAACCCTGCTAATGTCAATCAGCAATAAACTGCAGCTGCACAAATAACTCACAAAAAATGGTATAAAAAAACAACAGCTAGAGGGCTCCTTGCATCCTTGATCCCCACGAAGGCCAGTCAAATGGAAATTTTCCACCTAAACGACATAAAATTTGCTACCAAATCGGTTTATGGCAAAGCAAAAACTTTTTTTCTGCATTCCTTTTCCCAGCCCAACCATATTTTCAGCGGTTTTCCCATCGACTAGACTTAAAACTACAACAGCGAAAAATTCGGCTTCGTTTTTCGCCAGCCCAAAAATTTCCATGGACGACTTGCTGGCGTAAAAATTTTTGGAAATTCCATTTGCATGTGTGTAAGAGGATAGGGATAAAAGCCTGTGTGGGTGGTAGCCATATTTCGCCCCTTTCGGCCATAAAAGCTAAAATTTTTGCGGCTCAAACGAAATGCAGCAGGGAGCGTAGCACGCGAAAGTGGATTACCAACGGTGCCAGACTCCAGGACTCCCCTTACATTATAATACCTAGCCACCGTTACACAGGGAAAAAATTAGGGTAGCATCTATATTTTATCGGCTGTTTAATAGTTTTCAAAAAATAGTTATTGTATTTACATAATATTTATTTATAAAGAACCCCCTTGGAAGCGTTTATAAATTCTTTAGCCAATTTTCCTGTGTAGTTAGATTCCTCTCCCCTTCCTGATCCCCTGGAATCTGCTGTCACTCTGCCTGCATCCATTTGGCGCTGCACAACGGTGAGTGAGAATTCCAGGCTGCATGCACCTTTGCCTCCATTTGAAGCCGCCTGCTTACCTTTCTGCCAATTTCTGGACGCCTGTTCCAAGTGCCACCTCCTGCCATGGCAGGGGTATACAGGTGTTGGTCGAGGGGGAACATAGCCAAAGGACTGAGTGCCCCTCTTTGTCTATTCAATTGAGCGGGTTACACTGCGTTGGAGATCGCCTTTCCTACGGCTAAATGGCCTGGCCCAGACCGGCTCCACTTTATTTTTTTTTATTGGCTTTGAGTCTCGATGCAATAAACTTGGCTAAAAGTTCTCACGTCAATCGGTTGCGGGTATTTTCACACAGGCTGCCAACAAAGTGGATGTGAAAAGTGCGTGTATGTGAAAGCTGGGCGATGATGATGGGGGGGGTGGAGAGTCTGCGGAATGGCAATAGATTTTTTAATAAAAACTGGCAACTTGTTCAAGTAAATGAGGCTTTAAGGGGAAAAAATGTAGGAATAACATAGGGATTAATTGTGTAATGAAAGTTCTTAAATATGTAAAGAACATTAAATACTAAAATAGCTAAAGTTTTTCTTGAAACTGGCATTATTATCTACTTTTGCTTTGATTTATCCAAGATACAAAATTTAAGATAACATATTTGTTAAATTTGATAAAAATTATACACATTAGTGGTGCTGTTTTACATTTTTTATAAATAATCAAGAAACTAAAATTAATAATCCAACAAATAAAGTCGAGTTCAATGCACATTTAAAGAGAAAACTATTAAACTTTCCTGCTCATGACTGCTCTCAGTAAATGGCACTATTTTTTCGCATTTGAAATCGCTTTCATTGGCAAAAGGCAGCTGCCAGTTTTTATTATGCTCATCAAATGGTTATAATTCAATTTTTCCAATCGAGAAAATCGCAGCACGAACCGCTGTTCGCATACGTTAAATAAATGGCGAAATCCATAAGCACCATGGGACGCGCCCCCGAAATCCAACCAATTTCCATGGTTTTCCCAAAACGAGTGAAACAATCGTCCATTTTCAAGTCGGGGCCATAAATCATTGTGCCATTGCATTTGGTTGCATTGAAAGTTTTCATTTTCCCCTTTTGGCCTTTGTGCCATTTCCATTTAGTTTTGTTCGACGGCTGGGAGAAAAGAGGATTTGTGTTTTTTTTTTTTTAATACAGTTGACAGGCCCACATTAATCATACGCACTGTGTGCACGTCGTGTGTGTGTTTTTTTGTGCAGAGAAAATGTTTCTTTAAAAGGCAGACCAAGAAATTTGTTGACATTTATTAAAACAATAAACAAATCAAGGCAGACCACACAAAAAAAAATATATACCATATATGTATAAGACAGAGGGAAAAGAGTAAATGCTGTGGGGAATTTCCACACATATGCATGCGCCTCACGTTCGGTGCATAAATATTTTAATTCTACCGAAAATTTGCTGATAGTTTTATGGACTCGTCTGGAAGACATGACCGAGAAATGCATTTATATATGTATGTTTTCATTTTTATTTATTTTCCTCAGCTGTTGACTGGCAAATAATTTATGCGCCTGCCTTGCATTTCAATTTATTTCACAATTTCCGTTCAGCAAAACAAGCCTTTTGTCCAAGAAGATAAATTCAGGGACAGATGAAAAGTTAAAATTATTATTGTGAGTTTTATGTATGTGGAAGCCCATTAGGCTTTGCGTTAAGCCTTAGATGCGATCAAAGCGGATTTGGCCAGTAATTGAATAAAGGCCAACCAATTAGGATTCTTAAAGGGGATTATTTTATTATTTTGTCTGCAATTTGTTAGGAAAATATGATTCCTTTGTGCATTTTGCCACTCGACAAGTTGACTTCCCCTCAGAAAAGTAATTTGTCACAAAATAAACTTCAACAAAGAAAACTCTCTCAAAGAAAAGAAACAGGACTCGGCGATGCATCAAATTTAAACAAACATATGTAAATATTTGTTTACTCTCGCAATAGTTGCATTCCCCTCGAGAACGAAGCGAACTGAAGGTCCTCGTCCTGCCGTGTCTTTCCGAGTTTTTCTCCCTCACCCCCTTTCAACTTTCTCTGTGGGGCTAAAAGAAGGAGCCGGGAAATTTTCGATTACCCACTTTGCCCCACTTACCTTTACCCTTCTGTGTTCAGTTTCCTGTTTGCCGACTCCCGGTGCACTCCTCCAAGTGCGCTCCATTGGGATGCAATTAAATACTCCGCATGAGCGGACAAATAGCAGTAGCTGGTCCTTGGGAAAGTAACGGAAAAATACCCGAGAAAGCGGAGGAAAACAATATTTGTATTGGTTCGCTTTGTGAGCTGCTTCGTCCTGTTTGTCATTTCGTGATTCTCCCATTGCAATGGCTGCAGTTTACTAGCATTTAATTAAAAAGCCAAAGGTTATATGCCAGCCATTGAATTCTATACATTTTGTTTGGCTTTTATGTATTTTTTGGCGTTGGTATTGTGGTTAATTGGAGTCTTTGAGTGATTCAAGTAAAATCTATGAAGTGGAAAATTAAGGAAAATTGTTAGATTTGTATACAAGCTGTAACTGATATTACTATAATTATGTAACCATCAATACAAGTTCTGTGTGTATCTTGTAAAGTTGTTCCAGAAGTCACAGAGTTTTATTTTATTATTTTAGATAAGCACTGGCAAATGAGTTATGTCTTGCATTTGCAGTTTGAAATATTGGCTTGCATTCCTATTTAAATATTCATTTTAAATTTTGCCTGCTTGGATTTGGGATTATTTTCGGGGTGTCCTGGTACAAGAATAGCAGCAGCTGTTGATTCGCTGCGTTGACATATTTTAATTTATAATGCAATCGCTAGCTCGGATCGGCGCTCCTTTTGGGGCACGACGTCCCCAAAGGGGCGAAGCCTTTAGCAGTTGCCCAACCCTGCATAAAGATGTGTGCGTGGCTCAACAAATACACAGAGAGAAAAGCTAAATAAGTATTTTTTTAATATAAAATGTATACTTAAATTTTAAAATGCTTTACTTCGTCAGTTTCAAGGTTATATTTGTGTAGAGAAGAACTTTTCTCGCCGTGCCTGAGCGGGAATGGATATGGCTAAGCACGCGTGTTGTGTCGCCGTCTGTCGCTCTGTCTCTATCCCCCGGATTCTCCGTTTCTCCGCTTCTCTGTGAGTGTTTGCTCTCACGAGATTTACAACGTGACAGCGCACAAGTCCAAAAGTGGTAATGCAATGGGGCTCTAAAGGGGATCCAACCGGGGCAGCGCAGGGAGTCGGGGTCAGGATGGGAGAAGAAGACCCTTTAGGTTGACCCAGGGGCTTGCACCTGGGGAATGGAATGACTTCGACGACGACAGCGACACGTGCCAAGGACACTGATTTATATGTTTTCCATTTTTGTTTTATTAGCGGCCTCTCGTATCTCTCTGCGATCTTTCCCCCCGCTTTCCCCCCGCTCTCTGTCGGGGAAAACGTGCGTGGAATTAATGAGGCCTTTCCGCTATCTCATTCCACCAGATGAAAGCTGGAAAACGGAGACCTGAAAACTATTTCCATCCACGCCCCGCAACCACTGAACACTTTAAAGCGGTCTGCTGAATGGGCGAATTAAAATGAGCATGAAATAATCATAAATTGCGCATTGGCGCATTAAAATTTCCATCGCTTAAAGTCAAGCTTCCATTTGCCAGACGATTGAGAGACCCCGGGGGGGAGGAAATGGAAAATGGTGGAAAATGAGGGAGGCGGGTCAGACAGTTACCCGACAGCTGTGGGCGCGACGCTGGCGGGCAATGGAATGAATAGGTAAAACGGAAGCTGGCAGCTATGGCGCCGGAAATGGCTGCGTATATCCTGGGATAGGAAGCCATCTCTATCGCCATCGCTGGCAATAGTTTTGCGGTGCTTTGGTCGCAGTTGCATTTGGGTTTTACGATATGAATAGATCGGAGATTGGCAGGGGATACAGCAGGGCGAGGGCTGCTCAGAGGCTGCATACTTCAGGGTGTTCTGAGTATCTACTACGCTTTCAGTTTGTTTTTAAATAGTGAATAATTTTTTTGCAGGCAAGAAAGTCTTATTAACTGATTGTATTATTCCCTAAGAATAAGTATTTAATAGTTAAAACTTTTATTTGGGTATTTCAGTTTAAACTTTTAAAGCAATCATCTTAAAGTTTTATTTTCAAGAAAATACAGAAACAATTTCTTTATTTTTCACCTGAAATTATTATTTAAATTTTTACTATATTATTGTCTGATTTTTTGTTGTATTAAGAACCATCCTGGGCACCCAAATCCGTTGCTTCCATCGCCTCTTTATCAGGCGGCGACCAGCAAACATCCGACTGGCCAACCGTTGAACAAAGCCAGAAAACCGCGGCGAGATTTTCATTTCAATTTGCTGCCAAAAATGCCCACAGATGTGCAGGGCGATTTTCCCTGACAGAGGACAGAGGAGGGGAAGCGGGCTGGAATATACTGCATCCTGAAAACGGGAGCCCAGTAGACACGCAATGGTTTGGTCGCTTGTTGGCCAATTTAGTTTTAACGTTGCCAGCTGCTGCTTGTGTTATCATTCAATTGCCGCCTCCACTGAAATTTGGAAAATGCCAGTTGCTAGAGGTGGAAAATGCAGATGATGGGGGTCGAGGCATTAACTAAGGTAGGATAAAGTATGACCAAAATTTGTTTGTAAATTTAAGTTATTAACAGCTTACTTTTTAGGCATTAAATTTACAAATAAAATTCTTTGTTGAAACCAAAAAATAAATGCCAAAAGTCTCTCTAATTTTGAATTAAAAAATCAAGACATCTTTGTTTTCCTTTATCTTAGATTAAAGCTAACTCATTTCCTTTTAAAATCCTTTTCCAAGTGCATCAGATTAGTGTCCATAACTATGAGTAATGACCATACCGGCCAGTAGCTTCCATCTGCCTGGCCGTGAAGGGCTTTTGCCGGATTCTGGTTGAGTTTAATTGAGCGAGGGCGATGCTCACTTGGTGCAAGCCACTAGACTTGCCAGCTGAGCAGCAGCTTTCGATGGGGATGCTTCGCTAAATTAGCCTAACTAACCCCAGGGCACTAAACTTGGCCTGAACCCGACAGACCAAACGACCGACCAAGGGAGGTCCCTATCCTTTTAGCTCACATTCTCACCTCGACCAAAGGGCGATAGCTGTTGACAAGGACAACGGCCCGCAGGGCATTTCGAAGCAGCGTCAAGTGCATGACTATCTGATTGCAGTATATGCGAATTTTCGCCTGCCCGGAAAAGCGTTTAAAACATTGAACTGCATGGGGGAAAACGTGCTTCGAATTTAAGCGGCAGACAGCGAAAATATAGTTTATATTTTAATAAGAATAAAACTGGGCAAAAATGTTGAAAATGTCGAATCAAATTTTATATAAATTTGATTATTTTTACCAAAAAGCAATATACTTAAACATTTTAGAGATACGATTGCTAAATTAATCTTTTTTAAAAAGTCAAAACTAAAATGATATTTTTAAAATTGTTTAAAGTTTAAACCTCAAAGGTTGTCTTGTTAAATTTATTCTTAAGGCAAATCGAAAGCATATCAAAATTCTCCCCCAAAATAGAATCCGATCCCAATTCCGCAAAGAGCTTCCCCCGGCTGCATACCAAATTTTTTTAATACAATAACATTTTTCAAACAAACTTGTTTTGGCGGCCGCATTGGTTATGAGTCAGCATTTTACATGATTTTTTCATAGCCCCGAGGGTGTCTCAAAAGTCTGGCAAGTAATTCTATTAAAAAAACTGCGAATCCAAAAATATATAAAAAAAAACTGCACTTGGCCAGAAGAACTAACTACATCAGCATCAAGGGTGCTACGAACTCGATAACATTTTAGCTGGATAAACAAATTCCTTGGGCGAGCGAGCAAGAGCAAAGCAAATATGAAATTCCATTAATTTGATGGATGCTTCAGGCGGTGAAAAGTAGAGGAAATCTGTCCGAGTCTCGAGTATAATTTTGGTACCCTACGGGGCGTATGATTAATGCAATTTTCAGTCGTCAAAAGCAAACCCATTGTCCGGGCAAACACAATGCATTTATTAATGAATAACCAATATATGCTATTCTAATATCAAATATCCTTTGTTATTTGTAGGTCGACTTTGAATGATTTTACACGATGACTAATGAGAATACTTTAAAGCATGATTTTGTACAAAATGAATTATTTGATATTAAGTTAAAAACACTTGCAGTTATGATGATCTTTTCGGTGTAGATAGAGCCACCACCATAATGTTTTTCTTCAACCTGCAAAGACACCTTCCAGGGAGACTCTTTAATATCTGTATATCTTCCATTGATTAGGCAGTTTTCCGGTTGTGAAAGGAATCCTGCAAAAAGGAAGTCGACAGCTAAAAGCAAAAGAAAGCAGCTGATAATCATTTTAACTTTTCTGTATATAACCGGAGATCGAAATATACGTTCTTTAAATCTAAACAAATAAATAACAAACTATATGCAATGTCAAACCTTTAATTAGTTTACTGTTTTTGGTTGGAATTTTCTCAAGTTGTTTCTACTTATTAATTATTTTATATAACCCTAAGCAATAGGTTTGCTTTATTATGAGAATTCCTTTGTTAAGAGTAGAAAGTACTTCTTGCAACTTTTAAAATTTTCATTAACATTCCAATTTTAATTCTTATTTTAAATTGATTTTTGAATGGATCCTACTTCGTGCTGAGTGGGTATAAAAGAGTGGTTCCCTTTGCCTAAATTATCTTAGTATTTTGGCTTTTGTTCAACATGTACATCCAGTGGATAGTCCTGTTCTGCAGTTTTGGCCTGATCTTCTCCGGATGGATACCGGAGCGGATTGTGGGAGGAGATAAGATTTCCATTTCATCCGTTCCCTGGCAGGCTTCCCTTCAGAAAAACGGCGAACACCATTGCGGAGCGGTCATCTACAACAATGAGATAGTTATCACTGCTGCCCACTGCGTCCTAGAAGAAAATCCTTCCAGTCTGACTGTGAGAGTGGGATCCTCGCTCTCCAACTCCGGCGGTCAGCTGGTAAAGGTGTCCCGTTTCATTGCCCACGAAGACTATCACTGGCCCAAAGATTTTTCCCACGACTTGGCCGTAATTCGACTTCAAAGACCTCTTCGATTCAATAAGAGGGTCAACAACATTCCTCTGGCCAGCAGTTCACCAGCAGCAGGAACACCGGCTTTGGTTTCCGGATGGGGAACTATAGGCTGGAGATGGCCGACGTCTAGATCCCTACTTAGCGTCACATTGCCCATTGTCGACCATTTTAGCTGCTGGAAAGCCTACAACGGAAATATTACCGACGACATGATCTGCGCCGCAGCTCCGGGTAGAGATGCCTGTTCCGGGGACTCTGGAGGCCCCTTGGTTTCCAATGGCCAGCTCGTGGGCATTGTGTCCTTTGGAGCGGAATGTGCTCACCCCAAATATCCGGGAGTCTATGCCGATGTGGCTAAGCTAAGACCTTGGATCCTCCAGGCAATTAATACAATTTAATTTGCCAAGCAAGCTGCTTATTAACAAATTGAAAAGAATTAATTGACTTTTGAGAATTTTTAACTATTTTTCAGTCTTAACCAACTTAAACGATTATTGTGAATTTCAATTCAATATTTTTCTGTCTCAACCAACTTTAATATAAATTTGTAAAAAATATTTCAAATCAAGTAAATAAAGTTCAATTATAACACTAAACTTTTGAAAGTTTAAACTCAATTCCATGATTCTGCGGCCAAAAAGCTTATTACTTCCTCTAGCATTCTCTATTCCTCCTTCAGGGCTTTGCCTTCTTCGGGGATTGTCTGCAACTTAATCTCCCCCTACTGAGTTTTGGGGCAAGAAGAAGCGGTTCCAAGTCATTGGGCAATGCAAACTATGCAATATAATCGCATGATATATGCCTAATCTCTGCAGCAAACTTCCCATGAAAAGCGAAGACCAGGAAAAATCCCCCGGCCGCTAAGCCAGTGGAAGATGGGCTCTGGAGGAGAGTCAATTCCAGCTATTAAATTAAGAATGCATAACTTCCTGGGTTAACAATGTTGCCAGGCAACGATGGTATCCTGGGTGGGGTATAGCGAAGGAGGAGACGCTGGCAATTGCCTTGACAGGAGCACGAACGGGATCCTGATTTTTATATTTTCTATTCCCTTTACTGCCGTTTCGTAGATCTTTCGCGAGAGTGCAGGACAAAGAGGAGTCCTGCAGCTCCTGCTACTTATCTGCCATTTCAATTTGCGATTTGTTTGCTGCAGTTATTATTGCACTAAGAAAATTTAACTAGGGTCTTTAATTAATACTAATTTATTTAATACAAATATAAGCATATTTTATAAAATTCTTTCTTAAATATTAATAAACAAAATAAACCCTCAAAAAATATTAAGATAATATAAACTAATTTCTTTCATTAAGTTTTTCACTGTGGATAACTGTACACTTCTGCACAATATTCTTCCCATGTTCTGCCTTTGGAAAAGTCGTGTCGGAAGGCATCCTGTTACTAGTTCCTGTTCCTCTTCCTGTTTGCTTATTTGTTCGCACTCCCATGCTCCTGACTTCTGGACATGGAGCATAGAGCGTGGAGCGTGGAGCATGGAGCTCGAAGCATGGAACGTGCCTAAGTCGGGCCCTTTATAAACATCTTGTATAACTGGCGGCGAGAAGACCCCATCCGACCCGGTGTGTATTTGTTTTTAATGCAATTTCTTTTCTGCTGCGCTTTGCTTTGCATTCTGCAAATAGTTTTCATAAATGCTGTGGCCACGGAACAATAGAAGCCAGTGGTGGCTTCCAGCGATCTCTGGTTCCCCAAAGCTTTTCATTTGCACAAAGGGAGAGCCAAGACCAGGACATGGTGAAATAATTATAGGATATATATAGCGTCTTTTTAATTAACCCTTATGTGGACAACGTTTAGGTAGAAATAACTCAAGGAAAATACTTTCTTTAAAGTATAAGGATCTTCTGGCAATAGGATACTTAAAAAAGTCTGTTTAATTTTTTTATAGTAAATCCTTAAGCCTTTACCACGATATTTTTCTCAGTAAATACCTTTTTTTCTCCTCCCAAAAATAAATAACAATACTCACAAGTGTATTTTAAATATAAAGTATATTTATAAATACGTATAATTAAATTAATCCCAGCTCGCCTTACTCCGCACACTCGAAAAAAGGGGTGCTTACGAGCATTATTAGCTGACGACAGCACATGTGCAAACTTTTTTGACCACCGCCCATTAAACACACACATAAACTCGCCAGCAGCTCCATAATATGCATGCGAAAAAAAAGGATTAAAAGCAAACAAAGAAGGACCTGCTCAGCTGCATTCGTGGGCGGTGGCTGTGGGGTCTGAGGACACCATGTGGCGTTGTCGTTATTGCTGGCTTTTAAATGCTCACAAAGTGCGTACTTTGTTATGTGCTTAACTGGCATTAAGGGCGGAGACTGCAAAAACCCCAATCATTAACTTGTCTTGTTAATAAAGAGTGCATTCCATAAAAAAAAAAAACAAAGCAAAAGTTAATTCAAAGAGAGAACTTTTAACGACAGGACATAAAATGGCTAATTTGCAGTGAATTTCAGAGAAGTTTGAAGCCAATTATGTAGTGAACTTTGTTTCTTTTTAAGAACTTTTAGTTTAGTTTGTTTTTCTTTAAGAAATGAAATAATAAACCAGTGATTAAAAGTATTCCCTATAATATTATATTTATTATTTGAATACAATGTAACATTTTGCAACTGAAACCAAAACCAAAATCCTTGTGATGCTGCTCACAATTTCTGGCCAAGATGCTTGTGCAGAAGAAACCGCACGACATACTCGACCTGTCAACTCATTTCGTATCCCCACCTAAGGACTCTCTCCTCTTGGTTTCGCATCTGACATGACCATATATCGTATATTATGCATGCAGTGCCAGGCAATGGCCAGAAGAATATTCAAAGCATTTAGCAACTCATTGTCCCTTTCGCCAGCAACAGCACCAGCCACATCAGCCGAGCTCAAGACGATGACTACACCAAGGCGATGACGATGGGAAAAATGTATTCATGGCCCCCCAAATTGTATAATTTAAGTTTGCACATAAAATCACACCGCAAAACTTGGAAAAAGGCCCGAAAAGTAGAAGCCGCAACAACAACAGCACTCAAGTGAACTGACATAGATACGAGTATATGTGAATTGTTAGGGGAGAAATTCCCAGCATCCAGGGTTGGCAAGGAGGCTTCTATATATATTGCCATGGTTTAAATATATATGAGCTGAAACATTGGCAGTTTGTCTAAGAGAAAAGTCAGAAGTTAGTGCTCAATGACAAGAATCTTTGAAGTAGGGCATAATACTAATACTTGTCATTAAAAAATATACAGCTTTTTGGTTTAAAGATATTCTTATTTTGGGTTTAGGTTGACTTTTAATATTTATTTGAATATTTTTAAGACTTGTCCACAATATTTCAAAGATTTTCGAATAAATATCTAACAAAACTTTAGTTTAAAATAATTCTTATAATATATTAAATAGGATCTACAACTTTTAAGAATAGTTAAAATATGAAAACAAAAACAAGTCTTCAGGGTCTTTAGAGTTCTTAAAAAAAACTTTGTTTTATTAAAAAATGAGTCTGCAACCCTCGATTTATAAATTGCATTTGTAAAACCTCGAGGCCCTGAAAAAGGGGACTTCCCCTAAGCATTTCTGCATGTTCCCTATGCCCTTTTACCATTTACTTGAAGACGGCCTCTATTACACAGTTGAGCACACAACGGAACCGAATTTCCCAGCCAGTCCGTCCGCCCACACACACATACACACACATCAAATTTAAATATTTTAAAGAGGGAACCGGACGCAGGACGGGGACAGAAGGACTCCGGGACAGGACATACCGACAGCACACAAAGCACAAAACTTGTGTGCCATAAAAACGCTATAAAATTGCACAAATAGCATCGGAGACGTGGAGATACTGAGACGCTGATATGCCGAGCACATATATATGTGAGTGAGTGTGCCAAAGTGGCGGAGCTTCTCACTTCCTGTCCCGATATCTGCTGACCTAAGTGCGTGTGCACATGAACTTTAACGAGTGTGTGAGGGAAAGAGAGTCCTGCAGGTCCTTTTCCCCTTGCAATGATGTAAGTCATTGTCATCGCCTTCGTATCGGACTCATTTGACGGGAATATCTGGGACTCAGCCTTTTGTAACCTTTTGTAACTTGATTTCATTTTAATTTTTCCTTTCTTTTTTTTCAGGGTTTTCCTGGGCGACAATCTCAACACCCAACACACACTCACACAGCAGCAAAGTTATGACACTCACAAGGTCCATTTTGAGGCGACAAATTGGTCTTCAGGCTGTCCACGAAAAGGATTTGAGAAATTCCTGGCTCGTGCATTTTCCAGTGAATTTCAAAGGGTCTAATTCCCATCACACCAAGGACCAGAGTCCTTTTGGTCATCAGTTACGTAAGGTGTTGCTTACTATGAACTTGGGAGACATTTTGTGCGGGGACCTTAATTAGAATGCCATAATGGAAATGCCAACGTCCTCCCTTACAAACACACACACACACGGCTCATAAATAATTTATACGCCATGAAAACGAATGGGAAAATTTAAATAATCAAATACAGAGGGACAGGGCCATAGAGAATCCCCCAAGGAATACGCACACAATCATCAATCGCAGAGGAATCCATTCCAAGCTAAATCGAAAGATTCGCAACTATTTTGGGGTCGGGGGAAAAGGGGTAAATGATTTTGCATACAATTTAAGCGCTGGCATTTTCCACCTGAGATTTAACGAGAATCCTCTTATATTCGGGAACCTCAAAAGATTATTTCGGCTTGGCTTTCATCTGTCAATTTGAGACAACCATTACGATAAGTGATTTGGGAAATACATTAAGCCAATCAATGGATTATGTCAAACATTTAATTGACTTGACGTGTCAACTTTAGCGAAGGATAAATGGAAATTTAATACTCACTATAGTCCTGATTGAGATAGTTTAACTTGAAGGCATCCGTTTATACTTAAATAAAATCAAGGTTTAAAGGCAGCAAGACAAAAAAGAAAGCTTATTTTCATTAAGCTAAGTTTTAATAGCATTGGAGTTATTATAACATATAGTATGCCACTTAGGCAAAAAATTAAAATACCAGTTTTATATTTAAAAAATAAGCTTTGACTAAGATGATTGAAAACTTGTATCAGAGCTTCTACTAATTAAATTAAGAGCCAAGTCTGCACAGCTCATTCTTGCGTGGTCCTCTCTACCTCCTAAAACTTTAAATGGCAAAATGCATCCCGACAAGTTTTTGGGAAGCGAACCGCAAACTCCGCACCCACAACAACGACAACTTTAATTAAGTGGAAATTATGATGCTGTCAGGAAAAGAAAGGAAGGCGACGGCAGGAATCAGCACGCTGGGTGGCCAAAAAGTGGGCGGACGCTGGTCACACGTGGCGTATGAATAATGTAAAATCTCAACTAATTAAGCCGAGTAAATGCATTTACAACAACTTGCCCCGGCCTCTGGCCCCAAAAGCTGCAATTTTGTGCAGCAGCCACAGCCCCCAGAAGCACCAAAAACAAGTCGGGGCAACATATTGTTTGTTTTAATTAAAAATCTTCGGTCCATAGAGGAAAATTATGTGAGTGCAACCAGCTTCATCCGCAGCATAATGCAAGGCTAAAACTATAAGTTTATAAATAATTGGAATGAGGAAAACGAAACACATTACACACCATTTAGAGGTAAAATAGAGCATCTAGATCTTGAAAGTCGTTGTCCACCTCATTATACATTCTTCGGTCGAATTCACTCTCTGGTATAGCTATGGCTACTATAGTCAGTAGCAATCCTAAAAGGGCTAGACTAAAAACAAGAAACTTCATTTTTTAGCTGGAATACTTTATTATAATTTGAAATTACGAAGACGTTTGTGACAGATTTTTCTATGACTTATTTTGAATCGGCATTTAGCAAATTTCTTCATATGCAGCCCACTTGTTATGCAGCAGATTCTTCGCTTATCATCGTGATGCTTTTTATTCATCGGAAGATTCATCAATGTAAAACTCTTCACTTGGCTCCACGCTGCTTTCATCACTTGACACTTCGCTGGACTCTTCAGTACTCTCGTTACTAGGCTGCTCGCTAGACTCTTCACTTGACAACTCGCTGCTTTGCTCATCGGAAGATTCATCACTGTAAGACTCTTTACTTGGCTCCGCGCTGCTTTCATCAATTTGTTCATAAGAATTTTCATCATCAGACTGATTAGCGGACTCTTCACTTTGTTCTTCGGAAGATTCTTCACTTGATACTTCGCTGGACTCCTCAGAACTCTCGTTACTAGGCTGCTCGCTAGACCCTTCACTTGACAACTCGTTGCTTTGCTCATCGGAAGATTCATCACTGTAAGACTCTTTACCTGGCTCCGCGCTGCTTTCATCAATTTGTTCATAAGAATTTTCATCATCAGACTGATTAGCGGACTCTACACTTTGTTCTTCGGAAGATTCTTTAATTGGCACATCTCTGGACTTTCGAATTCGATCTTCAGAACTCACATTACTAGGCTGCTCGCTAGACTCTCCAATTGGCCACTTCCTGCTTTGCTCTTCAGGAGATTCATCACTGTAAGAATCTTCACTTGACTCCTCGCTGTATTCATCACTTTCATCATCAGACTGATTAGCAGACTCTTCACTTTGTTCTTCCGAAGATTCTTCACTTGGCAACTCGCTACTCTGAACTTTGGAAGTTTCATTGAAAATAATAGATTGTCCATCTACAGTCACGATGATTACATTGGACTGGTCTTCACTTGACCCGCTGCCCAACTCTCCAGAATTTTCCTCATTAATGTTAATATGAACATTGGTAAGATTCGGTCCTTCTACTTGCACTTGGATCTCATTTTTAATAGAATTTTTAAAAGTCTCGAAAATAAGAGGTTTCGCAGCCACAAAAGCTAACAAAAGTGTTAAGTTAAAGAAGAAACTTAGATTTTGCAACATTTTGGGTTTGAGGTTGGCAAAAGAATGGCTAAGCCTGTCGCGGTGTTGTACCCTTTTATACATACCTGAAAGCGTAGATTACAAACGGAAATTACCGAAGAACTTGCACAAGGCAGAGCTTAGTATTTCCTGGTAAATTATTTGACAAACAGTGAAATTGGTTTCTATATTCAGGGAATATAAAGATAAGAGCGTGGAGAGTTGGTAACTCAGACCACGTCGGATAATTAGGTTTCAGGGAAAAGTATTAAATTATTCATGAAAAAGTGGTTAAAAAGTAAACAAAGAAGAATTTCTATACAATTTCTTAAACCTTAAATTATTTTATTTTTAATTTTGTTTTATATATTACAATTTTAATTTGTCTTTTTCTCTAATTCTCACTCTAGTTTTATGTTATTCACAGTTCTAATAATAGGACGTTCTTCCCATCTCCTACTCTTCCGTGGAGTTCTCATCCTCATCCTCTCGTGGCGCCGGCTCGGTTTGCCACCTGTGCCCCATGGCATATGGTGGCTTCGCGTAGGTTTTCACATAAAAGGTTCCATTCTTCGGTACCGAGGGCTCACCTCCCATCCGAAACTCCCCATCGCTGAGCAGGAGAATCCAGGTGCCGTCATCGTGACGCTCGCAGCGGGGTCCCCAAAAGCCCGCTGGACTCGTCAGGGTTTCCACGAAATAATCATGAGACCTCTTGTGCGAACAACCGTAGACATAGCACTTTTTCTGATTCTTGCCATAATTGGGATAGAAGGTGGCATGTCCCACGGGCTTCTCAAAGCCAAAGCTGACGCTGGTTTGGATGGACTCCACGTAGGAGGCATCGCTGGCATCGATTCGGTACTCATCGGTCTGATCTCGGAACTGAGGTCCAGCCGGATCCAAGGCGTATATGGTATTGAATTTGTATGGTTGGATTTGCTTGCCAGCACTGCCAGCAATCTGAGCGCCCAAAGAGTGTCCAATAATGTAGACATCGTCGTAATGTAGATTAGCCTCCAGATGAAGATGCCGCACCAGATCCGCCAGCAGGGCACCCAGATCCTCAACCGTCTTGGCCACTTCGAAGTAGTTGACATTCGTGGAAATCTTGCTCCAGTCACAGACGATCACATTGAAATCCTCGTAACGCGGGGGCTCTCCATTGAGACCAGGATGAGTCAGGCTCAGGTAAGCGTTCTTCACCTTTCTGATGTGAGAGCCTTTGCTCTGACTCATCCAGCCATGAATGACAATTCTGTGGAAGAAGAACAAACAAAAGTTAAAAGGGAGATGCAGATGAGTTTAAAACTTAAAATGGTGTACGAATTTCAAGAGAATATATACATATTAGATATATAAATTGAACTAAGAGAAAGAAACAATATTCTAATAAACTGAAATTAAATAATTCTGTTAAAATTTCTCTAAGAATACCCCATAAAATGATAACATTAGCTGTAAATATCAATGCCCCCTTTTAGGTAAACAGATCTTATCTCAAGCAAATCATCAATTCCTTTCTTATCTTATCACTTTTTTAAATGCAAAACTTGTGTTGGACCTTCTTCTCCTTGCCTTAATTTATAATTTTTAATTGGCATTACATTGCTGCGGAACTGAATAAAAATAATGTAATAATTGGCAATTATTTGAGTGTCAGTGAAATGGCAATGACTCAATGAGCGATAAGGGACCGATAGGCCACACGAAAGCTCAGCGTTAAAATAAAAATATAACAAACCAGTTTCAATCTCGAAATAAACATTAAAATTTAGTGAGAGAATTTGGCAAATATTTCTTTGTGATCATTATTCATTAGCTTGTTTTGCTCTCCCAACAATCAGATGCTTTCTGACGTAAAGGCCGTTAATGAATTGGAATACTGTATACACTACTTGTAGTATTGTTCTGTCCCAAAATGTTTAAACAGCTTTCAAGTTTCAATTATTCTATACAGTTAAATGTAAACAAATTGATTGTTGCACAAGCGGTAAGGTTCCCCCTATCGATTCGCAATCTGGGCCTTTAATCTCCCAGGAAATCCCCTTACCTCGTGGGATGACGTGCATCGAAACCCGAGTTCTTGAGGTTTTCCACATCTCCAATTAACAATTCTCTTCCGCAATCCGCGAAATCCCGCTTGAAAAGTATGAATTGCATTTTACTCCTCGAACTGCCGACGAATGGTATCCAGTGCTTGAAGAATTTTTTCCAGAACGAGGGGTCTACCCCCAAGGTCTTGGACTTGATGAGGGTATAATTGCAGTTGGCATTGGGATTTAGAGCGGTCTCCTCGGTGGTGGTCGGCGATGCTAATGGGTGATTTCATCGTTATTTAATTTTATATTTAGAGAGTTAACATGTACTTGAGATAAGGCAAAGGGTCTGTATTTAGCAACCTTCTTTATGGTGAAACTTAAGCCTTCCTTCAGTGAATAGACTCACCCACAATAAGGGCAGTTAATGCCAAAATTGACACACTAATAACACCGATCCGTCCCAGCTGCGAGATCATGTTTACTGTCGGGATCGCCCGTGGAACTTCTGACCGTTCAAGTGGATCTCCTCAAAGAGATCTTCTAGTGAGCTAGTGCGTGCGATGACCTAGCTCTACCGTTATAGATTTATGCTCTCCGGAAGAACGAGATCCGCAGATCTGACCTGCTCAACGCTATGGGTCCAACTAACTGACGAAACTCTCAAAACAACCCGCGATCGTCGGCGATCGTTGGAACTGGAACTGATCGGAGAGCACGGGCGACCCCTTGTCTGAGCTCTCGCTCCCCCGTAATCTTTATTTCTCTCTATAAATATATATGTACATATATGTACATATGTATATATCGCACTCTCCCTACAATGATCGCTATAATTAATAGTAGGCATCACCAGCAGCCAAAGTGTTAATTGCTATTGACGATTTAGTGGGATCTTTAAATGATTTATGATTAGTCCTAGCAATACTTCATTAAATTAATTTAAAATTATAGCTTAGAAGTTCCTTTTTATGACTTAAACCCATAAATAAATAATTTGATTACAAGCTTTTAAGAATATTACCTCAAAAAAATATGGTTCATTGCTGTAAAACATAAATATTTACCCTGCAGACGATAATTGACTCCCCCGGCACATGTTTTGGTTAGAGCCCGAGTAATAAAAGCAAATAAAAATTCAACCTTTACACCCTTTCTAACCCAGATAAGTTAATTACCCCATTAAGTTGACCTGCTGTAAAAATCTGTAGAGAGAGAAAAAAAAGGAAACCCTGGCCGTAATGAGTTTCGGTTTTGTCGAAACCCCAAGGCAACATTTTTATGGCTGTCAGTCAGCAAATGATTATCGCAGATCCTGAAAATTTTCAGACCTATCGGCTAATTGCCTGGCCCCTAATCACATTCGAAGCTCGCTTAATTAAGCAGCCCCGGAGTACATAATTCATTAATCCAAACTCAAATGAGGCGACAAATTTTCACTCACTTAGCGAGTCAATTTTCGTTGGCAAAGAAAACTGGAAAATGTTTCGGGGCGTGGCTCCACCTGAGCCACGGAGAAAACTGAAAACGTTTTAATTATGCAAATTTGGGGCGAGCCCTGTTGATTAGAAAATCCGCCAGAGGAAAGTCGTGGCAAGAATCGAGGCTGCACTATGTGTAGTGCCACAAGAACCTCCAGACATCAATCAATATGCAAACGGATCCGAAGGGGCAGGACTCGTGTGCCCAGGAGGCCAATGAATTGGGCAAACCAGCAATTAGACGTTGGAAATTAATTGGCAATGCCTCGCGGCTGACTCAAAAGCTCCACAAAATGGATGTTGAATTGAAATTTGTGGGGGAGTTTGTGAAGCAAATCGTTGTTGGGTTTAGGTCTCTGAAGGTGTGACAACCAGAAAGGCTGATTATAGTTTCCTTTTGAAAACAAATTTACCGCATTTCTTTAGCGTTATTCTTTTCCTTTCTTTTTAGTGAACCTTTGTCAAGTGTCGGAAAAAGTTTTTCTCCTGCTTTTTCTTGTCAAGTGCTCCCAAAAGGTTTCTGAAAGATGTCTGTTGTCTTTAAGGTTTTTAGTGCTATAAATTGTGCCTTTAAAGATAATGTAAAATTCATTTAGTAAGCTTTTCTTACTCTTGCAGCACATTAACAATATTTAAATAATTAAAACCTAAAATTGCTTCCACAACAATATCCAATATCCTAACTCTTGCTCTCGCCCATTTCCTACCTTACTTCACCAGCCTTAAATCGTTTACACTTTCCATCACTTTACCGTTCAAACTTTCTGCTCGGGGCAGGAAACTTTTTCTGTGGCCAAAAACCGAAAAACTGTAAATCCACAACTAACATTTTTAAGCATAACAAAGTACGACGAGATTTGGTGAATAAATCTTGACGCCGTTTTTGGTTTAGTCAGGCATGGCCCCCGAAACGCTTATTATGTGGTTTTCGGGTGATGTAAGCTATGGTGGGAGATGGAGTGACGGCGGTTAGGGGATGTTTTGTCCTAAGGACTTTTTAGTTTTCAGACGCTGCAACGATGACTGCAACTTTTTCTATTGACTTAATGCAGTTGGCAAGTGCAACCAAGTGTTGCCTGTAGATTCACTCCTCTGAACTTGGACACGACAACTTTGCAGATTAACTGCTGGAAAAGTCAGATGAAAATTCTAGAAAATTCACCATTATTTAAGAGGTGTTGCTAAACCTAGTCACATATCAGTCTAAAATCAAACGTTGGATAGTTTTACTAAAAGCAACATACACACACGTATTATTTATGCTATTACATTTCTTATTTTCAAAATCTAAATTATCATTGTTGAGTGATTGATGGATAAAGATGCCTGCAACGGGCATCCTCGGTATCCTGGCGGCCACAGCCGGGTCTTTTTTTGCCCTGGGCGCCTACTATCAGCACACTGATGTGCTGCGAAATATCCAACGACTGGAGCAGCGCAATCCCCATGCCTACTTCATCCGGCGAAAGCTTTACCGATTGGTAACTTGTTTAGAAAACCCGTGTACAGCTATTAAATGATCTCTCTTCCAGCTGGACATCTTTACAGTAGAGGAAGAGAGCAAAGAGCTCGTAGGGGATTGTCAGGATACTCACAAACTGGCTGGGATCATGAAGTATGGCTTCCCCAGCACAAATGATATTAGTCTCAACGAGGCCTTCGACTTTGTGACCTCCTTCGATCACCGAAACTCTTCCATACAGTGGATGTGCGAGCGTGTGGACCTGTCTAGCTGTGCCGTTAAAGGGAATCCCACATCATATCTAGCTTCTGCGGGAGCATTTAACAAATCGGAGGCTGCCCGCGTATTTTTCCTGTCCAACATAAAGCCCTTCCTGAACAGGGGCTTCAATCTCACCGTGTGGGAGCGACTGCTGCAGCACGTGAACGATATGAGCCGGCAGAATGGCACCGTATACGTTTACACGGGCTCCATTTACTTGCCCCGGGAGGTCAAGTCCAACAATTGGTTCCTGGAGTACCAGACGGAGGAAAAAACCATGGTCGCAGTACCCACGCACTTCTTCAAGGTTCTGGTCATGGATTCCAAGTTGGAAGGGGATTCCATACCCTATGCAGAGGCCTATGTAATGCCCAATACGCCGCTGAACAATAACGTGGAACTGAAGACCCTTCTCAGTGATATCCGGGAGATAGAGAATATCACGGGTCTGCGATTCTTTGAGGGCCTGGATCGCAACTTTATCAATACCCAAGTGTCTGGCTCATTTGTCAGTTTAATAGCCAGTCCGCCAGCCATTTCCGTGGGCCATCTGGCAACCAGTGAAGTGATCAATCCAGTATCAAATTCTGCAAATGTTTCATTGACCACCAGCTTGGTTGATATCCAGAATTTGGATTGAGTGAATAAAAAATAATGGTCTTAAAAAATATGGTTACATATTTAATCGTTATTTATTTAGCCAGGAGAAAGCCTTCATAAGCTTCTATGTTTTATTTATCAGATGGGTGTTATGTAAGGCCCAATCCATGGGGCATAAATGGCTTATCCTGGCCCTGGGTGTCACTGCAATCAGTGCATCCTTTGTGGCTGGCATGTACTTTCAACACGATCATGCCAGGAGACGTTTGCAGAATTTAATACAAAAGGATCCCTATGCCTACTATGTCAGTCCCCAAATTTATAAAGTGGTAAGAGTTCTTTCTTTGAGATTAATTAATAAGAAATAATTTAAGATATATATAAATAATAATATATGAATATCTCTTTTCAAGTTTGCTTTCTTTGGAAGCCCCGATGAGGCCGACCACCGTATGCGCCAGATCATGAAGTACGGCTTCCCAGGCTTGGATGATTTAAGGCTGTACAGTGACTTTGTGCTCTCCTACGATCGCCGGAACCGGGTGGCCCATTGGGTGTGTGAACACCTCCAGGCGGATAGCATCCGTTCCAAGCGATTGCGACAAGGTAGAAGACATTTTCAAGCCGATATGAGTGTGCCATCCAACTTTCGGTCCGAATTGACGGACTATCAAAGATCCGGTTTTGATCGCGGTCACCTGGCGGCTGCTGGAAATCATCATTTGCAGCAGAATCACTGCCAGGATACGTTCTTTCTCACCAACATAGCGCCACAAATCGGAAAGGGCTTCAATAGTGGTGCTTGGAACAAGCTGGAGATATATGTAAGATCGCTAGTCAATCGCTTCGGTTCCGTCTACGTGTGCACGGGTCCCCTCTACAAACCCAAGCAGAAGGCTAATGGTAAATTCGGAGTGGAGTATGACATGATAGGACTCAATATGGTTGCTGTTCCCACCCACTTTTTCAAGGTTATCATGGTGGAATCGAATCATCATCTGGGCAAACCCTATATGGAGGGCTATGTCCTGCCAAATGCCCCGATACCGAATGGTTTGGCACTGCGGTCCTTTCTCTGTGACATCCGGGAGATCGAGCACTATGCCGGTCTAAGGTTCTTTGATGGATTGAGAAGGAGCGATTTGTTTGGCAGCAATTATCCCCATGAATCACAGGTTTTTCGCGACTTTGGTTGATCTAAAACAAAATTTTGGTTTACATATAAAATACATCAATATAAAGATGTTAATGAGTGTCTTTTTGAGCAGGCCTTGGCCTAGATCTCACATTTGCATTATATACACTAGCAACCAAATTATTGTACCCCGAAATATGTCCTATAACGACTCGCCACCAGTCCAGCAGTATGCTCTTTGTGCACTGGCGGGAGTAACTGGGTTTTTCTGCGGTGCCTTTGTCCAGCAGGAGGTGTCTATAAGGGAACTGTTTCGACTGATCCGGCGGGATCCTTATGTCTACCATCATCGTCACAGGCTATATCCCATTGTGAGTGGTTGGCTTAAATTTTAGTTATTTTTCCAATATATTTATTCATTCTTCCTTTTCCCCAAAAGTTATCCACTTTCAGGACCGATCACGAGAGCCGTTTGTGGAACCGTTCCATAACCTTTAGTGACAAGTTCAGGGAGCTGGTTGTATCGCCCCTTTTTGATTTCCTCAGTGCTGCCTTTATGCTAAAAACCGACTCGGCGACCACTACGGATCTGCTGGACTTAATTAAATACGGCCTGCCCAGCACGGAGAATTTGTTGGTCCACAAGGACTATATTGTCTCGCAGGATATGTGCACCAACTCACCGAAGTGGATCTGTGAGCACTTTCGCGGCGATTACCAGAAGATAGAGACAGATCAGTCCGGCTATAGCACCCTGAATCTCCGCTGCAACGACGTCTATGTCTTGAGCGGTAGCTCGGTGGGAATCTGTAAGGCCTTTAAGCGTAAGATATGGAACGAACTGGAGCATTATGTGGTCACCATGGCACAGGAGTTTGGCTCAGTGTACACCTACACTGGACCGATATATACGCCCTCAAGTCACGAAAACGGCAAATGGTTCATGAAGTATGAGGTCAGTGATTGGATTCCCGTACCGGTGCCATCGCATTACTTCAAAGTGCTGATAGTGGAAAGTCATATTCCCGGGCTGCGTCCCTTCGTCGAGGGTTTTATTATCGAGAACAGCAGGTCCGTGGGCGGAAAGTTGAGCGATTATCGGGTCAATGTGGACGAAATTGAGCGCTTTACGGGACTGCGATTTAGCAAGAACCTCCGGCCAGCGGTGCAAATCGAAAAGAACACATTTCGGGTAGACACTCGAGCCTGGGCGGGTCGGTTCCAGGAGATCTCAGAGCCACTTATTACTCAGCCTTCCAATAAAGAAAAATTTTAGCAGCTAGAAAATTTTAACTTTGCGTTTAAAGGTTTCCCTTAAGAATCTGTGAATCCAGAAGAAGTTCGCTCTACTTCAAAGCAGAAGTGGGTGTATTGAATGTGAAGGTATGTAGTTAAGAATTCTTAAAAATCTTCTAAAGTTATTGCCGGGCATAAATAAACATTTAGATATATCAGATATACTCCTTATCAACTGCACTGCCGAATTAATTTTTATTGTTCTCACCTGAAGCAGTAGGTCGTGGCTACATATCTCGACATTCAACAGGTGTTTGACCGGATGTGGCACGATGGCCTTCTTACAAAGCTTGAAGCTGTACTGAACCCGCGGCTGCTCTACTGTAAAATTGTAAATATTAAAATTATAGGTATGTACATATGTAGATGTAATGGAAGTGGTTAACATTACTTCTATTTCATTTTGGGATATAGTTATTTTATTCAATTTTAAAATAATATTGAAATTGTAATACAAATTTTATGAAACAAGTAAATATTTTTTATATCTCCTGTTAGTTTCTCTTTTCATCTAGATCGATCCTTAATGATCCAATCTCAAACTGCCACGGTAAACAAAGTTCTTCATAACGAAAATTGGTTCCTTTCTTCTTTATAAATTTAGTTAGATGCAGGAATAAATTATTAAGTATTTAACGACAAAAATATAAATTTTATAAAGTGTGAAAGTTACAAAGTTTGTAGTAGCATTTTATGACGTCACTCGAGGTTATGTACCACCTTCCCAAAATGTGAAGGCGAGTCACAGCTGTTAGCCAGACGCTCTGGCAGCACTGAAGCGTTTATCGATTGGCCGATAGCAACCATGCCCCGCTCTGGGACAGTGTTGGAAAACAGTGCTGTTTACGTGGCAGCGAGAAGAGCAAAAAAAATCGAATTGGGGAACTGACGTGGAAGTTCATTTCGACGGAATTTATTTTTGTTTTTTAACCAGCGTTTGTGCGTCGCGTCCGTCGAGAGTTGAGGCTACCATCCAGTGGCCAGAACCGAGAAGCGTGTGCTCAGGAATCCGGCTTAGCACTCCCCGAAATTGCCAAATTTGCCGAAGTGGCGAACTTTGAGCCACCGTGTTTTCTCTCTCTCTCGCTTCGCTTTTCCCCGTGAAAGTTGTTTGTTGGAGGTTTTTATCCCTGGAAAATCGGTGACTGATACACGGCTACGGTTTCCAGCAATGAATCCCAATATGTACGGGCCACCGCCTACGCAATTCCAGCAGCCGCCGACACAACAACCGCCGGCGCAGCAGCCTCAGTTTGGAGCACCTCCTCCGATTTCTGGTGGATTGAATGCAGGTTGGCCACCTCAACAGCAGCAGCCACAGCCTCAAGCGCTGCCGCCGCAGCAGCAACAACAAGCACAGTATGGAGCCCCACCACCGACATCGGCAGCCCCACAGACGTACCTCAATGGAAACTACCAGCAGCAGGTGAATGGGGAATAAGGAAGGAAAGCTTGACAAAGGATTAGCCTTTATATAGGAAAGCCATTAGATATGCCTTGGAATATAGGAGTTGGCTGTTGAAAAAACTTGGTCTGGGGTTTTAAAAAACTACTTTCAAAAATCAATAATGTTGACCTGATTTTAATGATTAATTTGGGTTACTTGTCGTATTTTTTTTTTTCAGTGGATAAATATTTAAGTAATTTACTTTTTAGAAATTAACTTTGTGCTTGGGGTAGGTCAAGGTCTTACGATATTATGTATGGCTTGAAATTTCGAATTTTTATTAAAGATTGCATGCACTAAATCCCAAAGCAAATAAGCTTTGTTCTTGATTTTAAATATGTTTTTAATGATGTTTCAAATATCCTTTATGATAATTCGCCTTCCTTTCTCTAAAATATTCAATTTCTTAAATTAATATTAACCTGTAAGCTAAGCAAACACAATTAAAGGCCAGAAAGATGAATGAAAAGACTGAGCCTCAGCCTGATAAGCGTTCAATACTCTCTACTCCGTGAAAAAAGAGGTCATCCGTGATTTCATAATGGAAGAGTGGAAGCTGAGCTTGTAGATAAGAAAGAAAATAACCCAAATTAAGTTAAGTAACTAAAAATTAATCTCCCTCTTGCAGCTGGCCACGTCAATGGGCGGTTTGAGTGTCAGCAGTGGCGTTGCCAATCCCCTGAAGCCACCTCTCCCGCAAGGAGCACCCGTTGCACCACCACCGGCAACCGGTTTCAATCAGTTCAACGCTAATGCGGCTCCACCTCCGACCGCAAACAACAACAATGCCGCATTCGGTGCTCCACCGCCGGCGGCAACTGGTGGCTATGCCAACGGAGTGCCAACGCCAAGCAGCACACCACAGAGCGTGGCCAGTGGGATCAATCAGATGAGCTTGAACAGCGCCAGCTTGGCCGGATTACCGCACATGCCCCCAAAGGCAGCGACGCCCGCTGGTCAGCCTCCGATTTCGGCTGCTCAGCCGCCACTTCCGGGACAGCCACCTCTGCCTGGACAGCCTCCGCTTCCAGGTCAGATTCCCACATCGCAGGCCACTCCGGCTCCGGCCGCAGCTCCTTTTGGCGTGCCCAGCTCGCGACCAGGACAGCCCCTACTGCCACCTGGCGCTATTCCCCCAACCTACACGCAACCTGGATTGCCTCAGCAGCAACAGCAGGGATTGCCACCACTGCAGCAAGCGGGATTACCGCCACAGCAGCCGGGATTACCGCCACATCAGCCGGGAGGCCAACCACCGCAACAGCCGGGATTTCCGCCACAGCAACCGGGATTTCCGGCCCAGTCCCAACCAGGTTTGCCACCGCAGCCAGCGGCACCCTATGGAGCACCCCAACCTGGAGGATATCCAAGCAGCGGCGGCTACCCGGGACAGGCGCCGGGCGGTTTTCCAGGAGGACCACCGCCACTGCCTGGACAGCAGGCAGCTGCTCCACCGCAGTTTGGCGCCCCACAGCCGGGATATCCAGGTCAGCAGCCAGGCTATCCGCCGCAGCCGGGTCAGCAGCCTATGCCAGGCTATCCGCCACAGCCAGGACAGCAGCCAGGAGCACCCGGTTATCCTCCGCAGCAAGGCGGCTTTCCCGGCCAGCCAGGACGTCCTGGATTTAACCAGCCCCCGATGCCGGGAGCAGGAAACATGTACCAGCAGGCGCCGCAGCCTCGTCGCCTGGATCCCGACCAAATGCCAAATCCCATCCAGGTGATGATTGAGAATCAGCGCCAGGCGGGAGGACCCTTTGTCACCAATCAGCCAGGTTTGCTGCCACCGCTGGTGACCACCAAGTTTGTGGTCCATGACCAGGGCAACTCTTCGCCGCGCTTCCTGCGCTCCTCCCTGTACTGCATCCCCAATACCGGGGATCTGCTCAAGACCACAGCTCTGCCCTTGACGCTGAACATTTCGCCATTGGCCAGGACCGCAGAGGGTGAGCTGGAGCCGCCCATTGTGAACTTTGGCGACATGGGACCCATTCGATGCAACAGATGCAAGGCGTACATGTCGCCCAACATGCAGTTTGTGGATGCAGGCCGTCGCTTCCAGTGCCTCATGTGCAAGGTGACCTCCGAGGGTGAGTGATATCTAGGAATTGAGTTGAGATGGTTTATTAATATTGATCTGCTTGGTTTCAGTTCATCCGGATTACTATCAGCATCTGGATCACACTGGCCAACGTGTGGACAAGCATGAACGGCCTGAACTGCTGCTGGGCACCTACGAGTTTCTGGCCACCAAGGATTACTGTCGGGTATGCAGCCAAAAGCTCCATGATCTCAAAGATTTAATTATAACTCATTTTCCTCTTTAGAACAACACTCCACCAGAGATTCCAGCCTTCATCTTTATCATCGACGTCTCGTACAATACGGTCAAGTCGGGACTGGTCCACTTGCTGTGCGCCCAGATCAAGGACATACTCAAGCACTTGCCGGTCGATCAGGGACAGGACAAGTCCAAGGTGCGAGTCGGCTTCATTACGTACAACAGCACCGTGCATTTCTACAATATCAAGAGCAGCCTGGCCCAGCCGCAGATGATGGTGGTGGGCGATGTCCAGGAGATGTTCATGCCCCTGCTCGATGGCTTCCTCTGTCATCCAGAGGAGTCGGCAGCCGTAATCGATGCCCTGATGGAGGAGATCCCACGCATGTTTGCGGACACCAAGGAAACGGAGACGATTCTGTATCCCGCCATTCAAGCTGGTTTAGAGGCTCTAAAGGCGTCGAATGCAGCCGGAAAGCTGCTGGTGTTTAACTCCACGCTGCCCATTGCGGAGGCACCGGGCAAGCTAAAGAATCGCGACGACCGGAAGCTCCTGGGCACCGACAAGGAGAAAACTGTGCTGACGCCGCAAACGACAGCCTACAATCAACTGGGCCAGGAGTGCGTGCAGCAGGGCTGCTCCGTGGATTTGTTTGTGTTCAACAATGCCTACATTGACCTGGCCACCATTGGACAGGTGTCTCGGCTGACCGGCGGAGAGGTGTACAAGTACACCTACTTCCAGGCGGACGTCGATGGCCAGCGACTGATCGAGGACATCAAGAAGAACGTGTCCCGACCCATCGCCTTCGATGCAGTGATGCGAGTGCGCACATCGGCCGGCATCCGGCCCACGGAGTTCTTTGGCCATTTCTTTATGTCCAACACCACCGATGTGGAACTGGCCAGTATTGGTAGGGATTTTCAAGGCGGAATTTATCTTAATCGAATTCATATATCATTTTCCCATCCTTTACAGACGCCACCAAGTCGGTGAGCATTGAGATCAAACACGACGACAAGCTGCCGCCGGAGGAGAATGTGTATTTGCAGGTGGCTCTGCTCTACACATCGTGCAGTGGTCAGCGTCGCCTGCGTGTCCTTAACCTGGCCCTGCGTGTGACCACAACGATTGCGGACGTCTTCAAAAGCTGCGACTTGGATGCCATGATGCTGTTCTTCGCAAAGCAGGCCTGCTTCAAGCTGATGGAGCACTCGCCCAAGCAGGTGAAGGATAACCTAATCCATCGGTCTGCCCAGATCCTGGCCTGCTATCGAAAGCACTGCACTTCGCCCACATCCGCCGGCCAACTGATTCTGCCCGAGTGCCTCAAGCTGCTGCCGCTGTACGCCTCGTGTTTGCTCAAGAATGATGCTGTGTCCGGTGGCTCGGACATGACGCTGGACGATCGATCGTATGTGATTCAGTTCGTCCTGTCCATGGATCTGAATCAGTCGGTGAGCTATCTGTATCCCCGTTTCATTCCCATCCACAATGCCGTGCCCGAGGAGACGGATCTACCATCTCCCGTTCGATGCACGCACGAAAAGACCCAGGAGGACGGTGCCTACATACTGGAGAACGGCGTTCATCTGTTCGTCTGGCTGGGCCAGTCACTGTCCCCCAGCTTTGTGCAGTCCGTCTTTGGGGTCCAGGGGCTGCAGCAGCTCGCCCTGGAGCGGTTCCATATTGTGGCAGAGACGCCGCTGGCCAAGCGCATCAACAACATCCTGGAACAGATTATGCAGGAGCGAACGCGCTACATGAGGGTGAGTCTTTACTGTTTTGGAATCTCAATGGTTTTCTTAAATGAAATCCTCTTTTTCGTAAAGGTAACCTGGCTGCGACAGAACGACAAGTTGGAGAGCGTGTTCCGGCACTTCCTCGTCGAGGATCGCGGCACCGATGGCTCGGCCAGCTACGTGGATTTCCTGTGTCACATGCACAAGGAGATCAAGGACCTGCTGAGTTAGCACGCCGGCTACTCCGGCACGTACTACAGGCCCGAGCAGCGCTGGGTTTCCGAAAGCAGCTACTCCCAGAACCGGGCTCGGATGCGTCGCCTGGCCTCCATGCGCAGTCGCCTGGGCAAATGATGGGGAGTGGTCAAAGAGAGAGACAAGGATCGAGGGAGAGCAAGAACTGGAGCTGGCGGAACATCAATTATATTTACATAAAAAATACATATACATATATATATTAATATTAATTAACGTCTATCATTTGAAGCGTATCAATTCTTCCATTAATTCTATTCGAGTTTGCATTGTTTTACTTTTCAAATGAGATATATATATATATATTTGTATGTATTTCCGCGAAATTACTTAGAAAAATTGTTCTCTTTTCAAATTCCATGATTAAATAATTAATGTTTAATTGTAATTACAAATTACTTTGCAAAAAAATTTCCCACACAGTTGAAAACTATTAGATGATTACGATGATGGTTAGCATAAGATCCTCATTTTTTCCGGGCCCAATCGATCTTAGTTTTAATGTATTTTCCTGCAATAACTTGTGCGCTGCGCCCTGCTTTTTATCGTACTTTATGTCATTGAAAGATTATTATTATTATTATATTGTAACCCAAATGTTTCGTGTGAGAATTATTCAACTTGTATGGTATATATTGTTCGCTCCCGATATCAACAGGCAAAAAAACCATAACTGCGTGCAGAACGACACAAAAAAAAACACATTTATTGAGACCGAAAAACGGAATAAAAACTCTTTATTAAAAATGAAAAGAAACTGGAATTTGTTTAAATGGATGAATGGAAAATAAATGATTTTCAATAATTTTATAAAAATTAATTTCCTGTAAAAGCTAAATATTTTGGTATTACGAATGGTAGCTTTTATTATTATTAATTATTATAAATTATTTATTTATTTTATTCTCTTTAGGAATTGCGAAAATATTCTAAAAAGTTTTAAATATAAAACATTGCATTTCATGTTGAAATATAACTGCGCGAAATATCAACATAAAGATGTTTTAAATAGTATAGTCGGTGAAAAACCAAAAGTAATATTGATATTTTAACGTAAGCCGGGTTTTTTTATTTTTCAAATTAATAATGGACCCCAAAAGTTCATTAAAAGACCAACACATATTCCAACATCGATTTTAAGGTATATATATATATTATTTGTTTATATACTTTTTGTTTATTCGTATTATATTTTATTAGGCCTTTAAATATCTAAGAATTATTATTATTTGACGTGCACATTTTACATTTACATAATTTTTTTTTCTTTTCTGTTGTCTCTTCTCGTCATTCTTCTTTCATTTTTAAATTTTTCTTTTTTCTTTAGCAGTTAGAAAAGGTTTTATCTCAACTTCAATGTTCCCGAAATGTAATAACAATTTAAATTAAAAACATTGCCTAGATTGAATTTCGCTCCGTGTGTGTGTGAAATGTTGTCTGTTTGTGGCTGGGTGGGTGCTTACTTATGTGTGTAACTGTGTACGAATTTTGTAGGTAATTGCGGAACTTTATAAACGTTTTGAACTAATTTTACACGTCGCGCAATCATAAAATTTGGGAAGAAAACACACAACTGGAAATTGGCAACTAAAACATATATAGGATACTTGACAGTTTGCACAGACTTGATCAATGTTCTCTTATTATTTTCTTCTTCTTAGTGTTAGATATATATAATTACAAAAACAATGCTGCAGTTTCGAATTCTCGATCGTGATCTTTCGATTTTGGAACACAACTTACTGGTTATATAATGCTCAAGGAAAGGAGGAAAACGAAGGGAGACAACTGAGCAACCGCTCAGATACTATTGCAGCTTCGTTAAACACATATATGTATATTTGTATAGGCATTATGGCTTAAAATATAACTATTCTCCGGAAAGTGATTTAAAAATTGTTTTTTTCTTTTTGGATGGTTGGCATTTAAATAAAATCTTATCGCCCACTCACAGCAAGGTTTTAAAAACAAAAGCGCAGCAAAATGTATTCCAGATGTGGCGTATATGTGTGTGTATCTTGTGTGTGTGTGTGTATAAGAGGAGCGGAGGAGAGAATCCGTCTATTTCGTAAACGCCATAAACACCGCCCACAGTATCTCATTCGCATTCGGCTTGGCAGCCTCCGTTTCAAAGTCAAGGTCAAGCAGCTCCCGAACCCGCTTCATGGCCACCTCGTAATCATCATCATTCAGCGGCGCGAATGCATTCTCGATGACATCGCTGGCGTGCGCCAGGAAGATTAGCGCCAGCATCCTTTTGTCCATGCGCTGCGGATCGTTCACCCACTTGGACAGCACAGAATCTTGAATCTGGAGAGAGAGAGAAAGAGAGTGAGATTATTGATTTCATTCAGGAAGATGTTTTTCTCTGGCACTCACCTTCTTCACCAGGCGACACTTGACCACATTGTCGCTTAGGGGATGTGTCGTCATATCGAAAAGCAGAAAATTTTGCTTTTCCGTTGTGAGCACACCCTTCTCCACCAGATTCTTGGCCAGACGTTCGCGTACATTTTTCAGCTGGTAGCGCAATTTCAATGGATTCCAAGTCTCACCTGCCACAACAGAAACATTTGAAATTATTCAAAACTTTAAATTGGACTTGGCTGGGTATGTATGTACCACTGAGATATTCAATCCAGCTCTGCACCGTCTCTGGGGGATCTGTTTCCTTGATGTGTTTTAGTGCCTCATCCAGTAGAACATCGCCCGTCTGCTGATCCGATTTCAGAATTAATTTTCTGTTTAGAAAAAAACAATGAATTTGAATTTAGTTTTTGTTTATCAAAGATGCTTTATTGTTTACAATAATACCTTGTACATAGGCCACGTCGTCGCATTCCAGATTTCTCGATCATCACTCGACCTCGCAGTCCAAGTTCTATGAGAATGCATCCGCGCAAACCGCTTGATATGCAGTCGTTCCAGAACGATGTGTAGCCCTGGAAGGAGAAGTTAAATTGGAAAATACTATATAAAAATTTGTGGTGGAAAATTTCTTTAAATCAAAATATCAAAATTTTATATTTAACTTTAGAATATCTATATTATTTTCCGAAATATGAATTTTTATGTGTCATCAGATTGAAATGTTACAAAAATAATATTAGTATTAATCACACACAAGTGCTCAATTTGTGTATACAAACTAATTCAAAACATTATTCAACATTTATAATTCCTTTAAGATATTGCAAAAACAATGGAGTTTTTATTTATAGAATTTTGACAAAAATAGTAGACTTTTGTGCATCAAATGTACTTCCATGTTTTCACAAATTAATTGTCTAAGAACGCCAGTTTAAACAAACCAAAAGCAGTCTGTTCTTGGTCTTTTCTCATATGGCAAGTGTGGAAATAAATGAATAATTTAGATGTTGTCAGGGACGAAAAGCTCTCAGACTCTGTCGTCGTACAGCTGATTAAACATTAAACACTTGAGTTTGCTTAGACTTTACAAATAGAACCATGTCATATTCCAGAGAAAATAACTTGTGATATTTGTTAAGAAACTAACGATAGAAACTTACATATCATTAATATTGCCCTATTTGTTAAAGTAAAATATTTCAAGAGCCACATTAAAATGTAAAAATATTTTAAAATAATAAACGTGGCTTTGCATTATCATTTCTAAATAAAATTAGGACCTATACAAGATAATAATACCTATTTAACATTGATTTAAAAAAGCTTGCACAACCCACACCATGAAAATGAATCATTTGCAATTCGAATAATAGAAAATGTCGCTTATCGTGATGTTAAAACCCTCGTAATGGTTATAGTATATAGAACACATATCATTTCATATAATGAATGACGTTGTGTGCCAGATAAGAAAGTGCCTACGAGAAATGTGGGAAGTCACCGGGAGCGAGACCATTTTGGAAGCACTTCCTCAAGCAATTAACCAAATGGAAGAAGTGTTTCCAGTGATAAGAGCACAAAGCGGATGGGGGGGGCAGATGTGGAACAAGAACTAAGACAAAAGCAACAAGCATTACACACGGCCCGCTTGGGGGTTTCGTACACTGCGGACAAAATAATAAAAAAGCAAATAGACGTGGTTGGTTGCCATCACTCACACAGCTGCATGTTTCTCGCTACATGCGAACGGCAAATTGAGCGATAAAAGTGCTGGGAGGCAGAAGTGAAATACAATAAGCGAATTCAATGGAGAAAATGGGATTCTGTCCGCTAGCTATAATGGGATGGGGATAGGGCACGTACGTTTGGAGTCGATTCGCTTTATGGATAGCATCCCAAAAATTATGCGGAGATTTATGAATATTTCAATCGTATGCAAATTAAGTGGGCACCTCTCCGATGGGAAAACTCGTTTGATGGAATGCTCTCAGAGCTCCGTGACGAGTCTCGTTTTGAGTGGAGTTTTCAAAGGTGAATCGCTGTAATTAGGGAGATTTGCAGAATAGCTGTAGCTGGGGATTATCTAATCAAAGAACTAATAGATAGTAACGTACAGATACGAACTTATAGGCACGTTCTTACTTTATCTAACAGTTAGTGGCTAACTATTTGGACTTTAGTTTCCGCTGACAGTTAATGGAAAATGAAATACTATTAGGAATAATGTATTACAATCTTAAAAAACAAATATGTACTATCAGTAAAAACCAATTGGGCACCTTAAAAAAGCTTATTATATGCTGAATCCGGAATTTTTTCTCTAAGAGATTACATTTTAAGCTTTAATTTGCTTTCACACTAAAAAGTAGTAAAACATTTTTGCTATAAAGATTAGAAAAACTGCTGCCAATGAAAAAAACCCCACACTTTGATAGGAGTTGTCGAAGACTAAGCTTTGCATTTATTTATGGCCACAACAAAAGATTTTAGAGAAACGCTCTTGGCTCGCTAATTGTGCATTACTCATCTGGCCAAGAGATTTCAAAGTTTATATTGCACAACAAACTGGTAAGGCTGATTTGAAGTTGAAGAGAGACATGGGTGCCCATAAAAATTCAAATAAACATAGAAGGGGTCAACTTTTTTACTGACAAAATAAGGGGAAGCCAAGGAGACTTTAATTTGATGAAAATTTAAAAAAGGCAACTAAGTAATTTATTTACGAAACAAAATTAAGATTCTAAAACGTTTGTTTCTAATTTTGAACTAACTGCTTTTTAATAGATCCTCTCATATTTTTCCTAATTGGGACCTATCATGATTTCCCCCTTTGACTAAGATCCCCTTTCAACTAAGCCCCTGCTGCCTTGCAGATGAACCACGGATGCACTTGGGGCCAAACAAAAGGTTGCGAAAGCGGGAGCGAGATGGCAGCAGTTAACAGGTGAAGAAGAAGCTCTTGAATATGCTGCTCTTGATTAACATGCTCGTGTTGTGAAGGGAAAACTAATTAATTAGCGAAACCAGGAAAGCGTTGCAAGCAAACGAGATAAGGGTGAGCTTCCTCCAACAACCCACCTCCTTGTCCTTGAGTCCCAGCAGCAGGACCTCCTCCATGAGCGTGAGCCGCGTCTCCTTGGAGTCGCCGTCATCGATATTGTCCTCCTGGTCCTTGAGGCCGTCGATCGCCTCCTGATTGTCATCCGGCGTATTGGCATTCAGGCCGCCCTCCGCGCCACCGTTTTCCCTCGGCTTCACCGAGCGTCGCACCAAGCCGTCGGAGCGATTCATTCCGCCGGAGACTTGGTAACGCGAATTTTAGAGTTTATGGAGATGTGGGCACCTCTTTTTTCAGCTCTTCTTCTTCCGTCTTGTGTGTGTGGCAGAATTTGCTGACTCGGCGCTGGAGTTTTGTGTGTCGCGAGTGTGTGTGTGTGGTGGGTATGTGCAAATGTGGGTGGCTCTGTTGGGTGTGCGTGTGTTGTGTTTTTGTGTGTTGTTGTTTTCGCTGCTTCTTTTGCGCTCTTCCTCTTTAGCTTTTTGCACACACGCACTTTTCACACTCTCGCAAAATGCAATGGCCCAAAACTGCGTTTCGTTGTTGCTGCTGGCCGAACTGCGTGTTTAAAACTCGACAATTTATTTCACAGTTTGTTGGCGCGTACTAAATATGCAATTGCATGGCTTCTAATTTACTGGGAATTATACGAATTCCTGCGCAAAATAAGCTTTTTTATTATTTGTGTCTTTTGTCGTTGCTACTGTTTCTTTGACGTGACATTTTTCCATGGCTAGTGTTGGAAAACGCTGCCAGCAATAGGTTCTGCTGAAAGCAGGGGAATTTATTCCGAGTGCCTCTTATAAGAGTCAAAACAGATCAATTCCTTACTAATATTAAAAACATCAATTAGGTCTTCAATTAGGTTTTTCGCTAAATATTACTACTTTTGCTTGTGAACACTCAACAGCTGTTTTAAGGGCAGTGCCGTCAATAGTTCAATCGATATCTCCGAGCTATCGATAAGTGGAAGAGGCAGCAAGCAAGAAAATAAAAATAAAAACTGCAAATTGTTGAATATTTTTGTGAAATTAACAAAAGTTGTTGCCACTTGAACGTTTATTATGTCATATTTGGCCAATTTCAACAATGAGAACGCTAAACAAATACTCATGGACATCATTCGTTGTGTCAACCAGCCGGAAAACTCCAAGAAACTTTCAGAGGCAAAGGCCTCGGCTGGAAAGGAGATGATTCTCATGATGCAGCATGTAAATAAGGATATTTAATAATTACATACAAAATCTCTAGAACGTTTTCGATATTTAGGTATTTCCGTTGGTCATGCAACTTCAGCTGGAGGTTATAAAGGGACATGGCTTTCCTGGTAACCGCGAGGGATTAGTTCAGTTCTCCCAGCTCATTCGGGAAATGGAGCGCGACGACATGGAAATCGCACGCCTGCGCAGTCAGATTCGAGCTATATACCTGCCGCCTATAGCTATAAATACCACAAACGATATCCTGATATAGGGGACCCCACCAAGACTGTACTGCTGGCCTGGTTCGGGTTGCATACATAACTTCACCTTTTACAAGACTGTCACGACTAAATTGTATTATTTGTTTCATATTTACGTATTATTTTAGATGACTATGTTCTTCACCTGAATATCTGGCATTATTCAGCCTTTTTTAATATTCCACACAACGTTTTACTCGAACCAGTCCCATGTAATAGACTTAAGTTTGATGTTCTTAAAAAATGCATTTCTTTTTATATAAATTTGTGTGTGGTCTTTGTGTATCAATGTGTAGAAATGGTCTTGTTCGTCTTTATTGCTAAGAATAAGTAACATGGCATAGCTGTCTATAAACAATTAAGGATCTGTGCCGGTCGTCTAGGATCTAGGATATGTCGAGCAGTCACGGCGATAAATTAACCAGTTTTTAGTTTCAATTCCTATATAATAAGTTCCTTAAGAGCTATACTTTTATGTACACGTCAAGTAGTGAGCTGCCCGTCTGGTGAAAAGCCTTGGGCGAGGATAACTAGTAACAATTGTGGGTGGATTCTCTAGTGCGTTGACCTTCCATTGGTGGTGCTTGCACTGTTGTTATTGTTCCCATTCTCGAGGTCAGCTGATGTCAGCTTTGCAGGACTAATGCTTAGACCTATATCGTTGCCATTGAGTTTGTGTTGCAGATGCTGCAGCTGTTGGGCGATGTGTGCATCCTCCGCCTGGGTAATGCTCTCTGAATCCGCAATGGACAGCGACATGGGCGAGCGTGGCGTGAGGGGAGTGGCGGGATTGCTGACGCACAGCTCTTCGATGGTAGAGTCGCTGTTACTGGAAGGCGTTGAGGATCGCGACCTTACCGGATACTCATCATCCAGAGGCAGAGCAAACCCGTGGGTGATCATCAAATCACCAATATTCACTTCAGCGCCCTCAGCTGGATCGAATAGTTCCACGCCGGGCAGCGGAGTGCCCTCCTTGGCAGCGGAATTCAAGGCTGCAGAGTTGGCCGCCTTTGGGCGCTCCTTGTAGGTGACTACTCGGGCAATAAGCTTCCGCCAGTGGGCCACTAAAGGAGGAGAAGGATTAGATTCCTGCTATTTATTTAATTAACTTTGAACAATCCTTACCCTCTGTCAGCTCTTCAAACTTGGCTATTGAAGATTTTTGCCAGGTTATGGGCTCCGTTTGAATAGTGGATTTGACATTGGCCAAAAAGCACTCCACAGCTTGGAATCTAAATAGATTTTAGTCAGAAAATCAGTTAAATTATTAGAGGTTTTACTTATTTATGGATTTCCCACCTGAGCGTTAAAAAATCAGTGCGCAGCTCACAGATATCCGCTGGCGAGATGTACTCGCTATCCCCGTAGTCCACAAAGTACAGATCGATCACCTGCTCTTGGGGATTGTACTGGTTAGGCATAATGTCCACGATCTCAGCCCGATACCACTTCTCATCGAACTTGAAGACGGCGGCAACAATTTGGCCCACATAGGGAGCAGTCAGGACATGTTTCGCCCTGTTCTCGGCACTGCTGTAGTAGCTGGTCATCTCCTGGACCATGTGATCCAGCTTCTTGGACTGCGGACCAATAAGCTGCACCCAGAACTTGGTGGGCGAGGCCACGGCGGAGACATACACTTCCATGGGCTTGCCATCGCCCTTGGCCGCCATTAGCTTATCCCTAGGCTGGGTGTGCGAACTCAGGGATGTCTGGGAGGAATACAGGCTGGAGGAGGCAATGCTGTTGGTGGGTGAACGACGAGGCTCGCGACGCTGTTCCACTTCCTCCATAGATCGCAGCAGTTCCTCGTCCTCCTCTATCTGATCGTCCATCATTTTCCGCGCTATATTCACCTGCTTCTGGTTGCCCACTATGGTGATTTTGGCCTTGCCATTTCGTCCGTTCGGATCAATGTTCAGCTTGGCCAGCGAGCTGCTTCGGATTTCCTGTATCAGCTCTCCGCCGCGTCCAGTTAGTTTGCTGGCTAACCTTTGGGGCACTTGAAGCTCCACTTTTACCATGGGTGCCCTCTCAATCTCCTTGATAAGCAGGACACGAGCAGCCTTGACAGCATCGGGCAGGCCGCTAATGTCACAGAATTTGTGACCACTGTCCTTGTCTCTGCGGGTTAAAAACGTAAATATATTTTTGTAAAGCTAGAATTTAAAGTTCGAATCACATTGACCAAATTCCGTGGTCGATAAAATTCAAATCCAATTACCGTAATCTTATCTTGGCCAACGTTTTTTCTTCAATCAACTTGATATTGGAACCACCGCGTCCCATTATCAGGGGCACATGTTCATTGTCCACAACGATTTTGAGACAGACCTCCTTTTGTGGCTTCTGCTCCTGCTGGCTCTGGGCCCCATTCCTTGATCTGGGCTCCTGTCCTTCCTCCTCCTCGTCGTGTCGGTTCTTAAAGTACGCGTATAGCATGGCTCCGCCGAGGGAGCAGAGGCCGAAGCCCAGCAGTAATTTGTAGGTGGGCGTGGCCCCAAAAGGCGTATTACGCAACATTTTGTGATTGTGAGGGAGGCGATGACCCTTTTTAGTTTTTTGTGTAGGAAAATGAGTCTACTCAACTCCTAGGTTTATTGTTTAAGAGGACCACAGCTGTAAATATAGGAAAACAAATATTTTTATTAATTTTAAGACATCTTTAATCATTCCCAAAGCACAACTATAATCCCCTAACAACTGACAACAAATTAAAAATAAATACAAATAACAATATTGTCTCATTTTCAAGGTCTTGTTCTCATATGTTAATAACTTTTGCGTGTGCTTGGAACACTCACAAAAATAGAACAACAAGTTCAAGAGCATTTCAAGCCCTAAGGTGACTGGTACAAGCATTAATGTCTAGTCTAATGGAATCAATAAATGTTTAGAGGCAAGCCAATGTGATTACCCCCTTTTTCTTATATGATCCCATCACCCGCTGGATATTATTTTTTTGACAAATACCTGAAGAGACCAAATTCAAACCACAAACAACAGAAATTTGGCAAACAATCTCCCCACAATGACTTCATAATTAAAATAGTGTAGGTAAGAGCAGTGCACGGGAAAAAATAGACGAGTGACGTTACCGGGCGGGGACAACACCGAAAGAAAATGTAGCAACTTACAGCGCAACTTAATGCACTTCTTAATGGTCACACACTGATATTCGCCATTTGGGTATACCCAATTTTAGACTATGTTAAAAAAATGTCTATTTTGCGACGAAAAGAACAAATAATTTAGTGTTTTTGATGGAAATTTCATGACTTGTGTAAGAATTCCATGTCTGAGAAAGCACAAAAAGCTGAAAATCATAAAAGTTTCATGTGCAGTGTACATTTTATAATCATAAATAACGTAATGCGAATGCATCACCAAAAATAACAGACTATTAAACTAGGAAAGCAATCAAGCTAATACAAACTACTCAGGACAGTGAGCACTAATAATAAAAATCGTTTTCAGTTCAAAGCTTACATTTTCTTTCTGCTATAATTTATCAGATAAAATTCCTGCTAAGAAATATAAGCTTTCTCCTGTGACTACTTGAGAAACAAAATTAACAGGAACCCCGACTCCCTGTTATTCTATATCGTTCAGAGAAATTACCGGTGCTTTTACCACGATTATTAATTTTTGTTAAATATCTATAATTAACTTTATCATAAAGAAATTAAATAAATAAAAACAAAAACGTTTATTTATTTATTATTATTTATTTTCTCTTGAATATTTACAAAATCCCATATATCAATTATAAAATTATAAAAAAAAAAATTCTGCGCAAATTGCAAGAAACTTATATTAAATTTTTTCCAATGAATACAAATATATATTTCTTACAGTGGAGCTCTCTTCCGGATTTCTTAACCATTACCTACTGTTTAACATTATGTGTTTATAACAATGTATAGCTCACTTGTTGAGCCTCAATAGATCACAATATTACCGAGACTTTGCACTGGTTCTTGGACGAGTTAAACGGGTTTTTATGCGCTCATTGGCGTTATCAGACCGGTTTAGCCTTTAGGCCCCAAAAGCATGCATGCAGGTTGCCACTTATCGCTGACTGATAAAAATGTAGTCCCCCTAAATATTTATATTTTTAGACATATGTAAACACCCGAAAAACACGATTTAATTACTTTTTGGCGCTGACCTTGATCGTGAATTCGTGCGATTGTTTATTCAAACTTTTTTCCACCAAGCTTTTGCTATTGGTAATAAAAAAAAAGCCGCTTAAACTCAATCAAGCGTTTTATTGCAATGCAGCAGCTCGTTTGTTTGGTCTCCGCACATTTTCGCGTCTCGTCTTTCGTTCGAAATAATCGTAAATAATATTTGTTTAATTAACGTTCAATTCTCGCGGGAGAAGCTTGAGTTCACCTCCACATTTCAGTCATAACTGAGGAAAGGAAAACTTTTCGAAACAGACGGCAGGCAGAGCAATTACGAGAGGCCAAGTCAGCTGTTTTATGAGCCCGCCTGCTCATTCATTTCCCATTTAAACTTTTCTCTCTCCGCCTGTCTGTGTCTCTGTTGTTTACTTTGCCGGTTGATTTGCAAATAGTGAAATGCGAATTGTGGGAACTGGTAATTAACATCGGAATATTGGCATAAAGACAAATAATGGAAGGCAAACACACAGACAGAGCGGCGTAAGTCAGCAAGCGGCCAAATGTCTAATAAAGAATGGAAAAACGAGGGGCAGAGCACTGAGAAAAATGTTTATTATAACATTTTTTGGAGCCGAAGAAAGCTTAAAGTGAAGCTGTCACAACAGTTTAGCAGGAAATGTATCTGTCAGATAAATTTTAACAATAATTGGAAACAAAACAGGTCCTTAAAAAGTTATAGGAATGTAAACTGAATAAAATAAATTAAAATAATTATTTAACTTTGTTTTATATTTTTTCAGTATTATTAAGTATTTATACTAAAAAAATTCATGGTTTTATAATGGCACAAAAATTGTAATTTCCTTAGGTACTTTTTTTTACCTTTTTTAAATCAAAATAAATACAATTTAAAACTTTAAGATATTCCATAAATATTCATGAACAAAATATGTTAATATTATGATTTCACTAAGAATTTTCGGCCGTGTAGAAAAGCTTGAAGAGAGCCGAGTGCGCAGTGCTAAATTTAGTAGAGTGACATAATAAACCGTTCGTTGCGTTTAAGTTGTGTTTGGTCTCTCTCACTCATGATTTATGACCGATTTCTGAATGGATTCAAGAAACTGAAATAATAACAATTAAAGCTTGCCTTCTTCAGTTCAAATTCGTTACAAATTTTACCGTTTTTTTGTAAATGTTTAATGGATTTTCGTTTGCTCTATTTCCCTGGCGAAACTCATTCAAAAAATGGTGCCAAAAATCGTGAGTTTTCTTTTAGGTTTCTTTTTCGAAGGGGTCACGCGGTGAAAATGCCTGCGATGCGTCGAATTTTTAGTTGGCAAAGTTTCAAAATTTTGGTTTCGCACACGTACGTAAGTATTATTGTCTCGGGGTGGCTAAATAAAGGCCCGATCAACAAGTAAGGCGACGTCACTTAAAGGTATTCAATAATCCCACAAAGCTATTTTGGAGAAGCCTTCCTTTGATGAATTTTATACAAAATATATTTCTAGCAGCCGTGGCTTTTGGGTATTTTATTTTATATTTGTATGCTGCGCTGCAGGCTTTAAGCTTGGGAGTTCTGATTGGAAAACCAGTTTTTGGGGGGGAGAGAAAACGCAAAGACCAAGACGCCTTAAGTTGAAAAGGTCAAGCATTAGCTCAATATTAGTTACCCTTCGAATCGAATTGATTACTATTTGAGCAATAAAGCACTTAACTGATAGTAAAAGTGCTGCGAATTCTCAATGCCCCCTCACATGTCACATTTCACACCTCCTCCAACGTTTACTTACCCCTCGCTCTGGTGCTTTTGTATCGAAGCTGTCTCGTGGGGCGACTTTATCAATTCACCAGCTTTGTTTGCTTAGGTCTAATTAGCCTGCTTATCTAGTCACTTATTAACCATTCACTTAATCCTGAGAATTGGAAGAACGATTTCTGCGGGCCTTAACAAAATTGCAATTTACGTCAGAAGCAACAAAAAACAATAATGCCGCATAAAAAAACGTGCGAAGCAGTGTGACCGTTGAGACTTACAAAAAATACCAGCGATTAAGTTCTGTGAACCGCGAACAGTGTTGAAAAAGGCAGCGTTGAAGCCGTTATATATTTAAATTTAAAATATATTGATACTTTTAAAAGTAGTTCTAGTTAGATATATACCAAATATTTAAAATAAAAAATATAAAATAATATTCGCTTTTAATTTAAAACTTATCTTTTAAAAATCAAAATAAAATTTGTTTACAATATTTTTGGGCAATTGAAGGCCTCAGCGAAGGGCTCTAAGATGTCTGAGCGTTTATCTGTATCATAGGAATCCATAAAATATGTCCAATCTGTGTTTTGTACAAAATCTATAAAAAATAGCTGCTTTAACGACTTATTGGTTAAGTCCTCCAGCTGCGTCTGGTTAAATGTCGAGCCAGCGGAGAAGTAGGCATCGTAGACTATATTCAGCAGCACTAAGCTAATCTCCCTCCAGTTGGACATCTCGCATTCATTTGGACTGATGCAGGGAGATCTGTCACGATACAGTTGTCGGTTGTCTAGTAATCCCAACAATTCGTTGTATTTCTGGCACCCAGAATGAGGTAGCTTGGGATATGGAAATAGAGCCGTTAGGACCTCATTAGCCAGAAGATAGCCCAGCAGGCTCATCTGGAATATAATCATTTTGATTAGGAATTAATTAAAGATTTTTCAAATACAGAAAAGGAAAATAGTTTTATATACCTTGAAAATATCGTGCCCACGGATGGTGAAAAATGGTTCAGCCAAAATAGAAAGAGGAACAATTATGGCAGTGGCATTGCCAGTGAGTATGGGATGTATGGGAACTGCCTCTGGAGGATCCCGCCCTGCAATATCCGTATACGAATCTACGAATTTCAGATTGTGCTCCTTTTCCAGCCCAAGTCGGGACTGCTTTTCCAGAGCCTTCAGACGAATTGTGGCCAAGTCATCGTCGTTTTGAAAATCAGCATACAACCGTGTTAAATATTGACGTCTACCCCCATCTTTTATGGGCATACTTCCCACATTTACTGTGATGGAATTGAGGATTTCCTGGAGTGATAATATGTGAGGAATAGATAGATTTAAGCGATTGGCTTCAAGTCTTTGATCAAACTGGGCTTTTATCGCTTTGAATACACGCTGGACTTCCGTTTCAAACTCCTGAACCTTCGCTGCTCCCAGGACGTGCTCCTCATAAAGCAGATAGCTGGCAGACCTCATCGCATTCCTAACCATATTGACGCAGACAAACTCGTAGTCCCTAGGGTTGTTTATCTCCAGAGACAAAACCTCCATGAATCTGACAAACAGCCCCATCAGATAGGTGGCCACAGCTACCGGGCTTTGTGAGGTCATTACTCGATTGAGAGCCACGAGAAAGTTCAGATTGTCGACCAACACCTCGTAATCCGGTGTCAATGGACGACCCAAGACAATCTCCAAGTACTTTTCCATTGGAATGCCGTGCTTTGTTTTCAACTCGTCAAGAGTCATTCGTCTTCTGTTATATCGTTCCATACTGTTTAGACCTAGAAGGCCGTCCTGCAGTAGGGTCATATCCTTGTACAAGGACTTTGCTTGGGTTCGGTTAACTCCCAGCTGACGAGTTAGCCAGTCCACATCGCCCCAAACCGCATACCTTTCACGGGTTATGAAGCGATATGCACCGAGCATTAACATATATTTACCGCTTTGGTGGTCAAATTCCGGACTCATCTGGAGAACTAGACCCATTCCGTATCGACGCAGTTGGCCCAGGGTCACCAGCCAATGGAATCCCTCTACTGAGAGACTGACGTTCTGCTGTACCGCCTCCCAATAGTTGATTACCTCTTCCCTCTCCATGGCCACTTGACAAGCATTGTACAGCCGGAGAACCTTTTCCTCCAGACTGCCCGGCTCGAGAGTTCGGTACTTTAGTTGCTCAAACAACGCCATGAACTTGGGGTTCATCATTTCGTGAGCTTCGAACCGGGAAGTCAATTTGGTCTTCTCACCTTTGGCATAGTACTTAAAATCTTTGCAGGGATCCATCGTTTCAATCATGGGTTTTTGTATCAGGTCCAAGATTCTCTTGTTGGCGGAAAACAATCCAGCACTCTGTCCGTTAATAATAGGTAATATGCCAAGGAGGAGCATGTGGCATAGCCACGGGAATACTTTAGAATGCCGATCCATTGCCGACGAACGACTGATTAATTTCCCTCATTTAACTGCCGTATTTATAGATGGAAAGCTGATAAAGCTGGGATCTTTATGGTTGACTTTAAATTGAGATCTTTGTAGCAAATATATATATTTTTTATATGGAACATACAGCTCCTTCTCCCTGAGTCTTGCGAATGCATTGATTACGTCAATATCATTAAGATATGTTATTACATTGATTATTCCATTGGAATCATTATCTTTGGGATGTTTATTCTGAGGCATAAACAAGACGATGATGCCAGTTACAAGGATGACTGATGCCAGAGCAGATTGAATAATATCCCAATCTTTGGAAAATTTGCCAATAAACTTATGAGCCTGAAACACAAGATAGCCAAAAACTAAAACGGAGTCCCACATCTTTTTCTAGTCCTTTATTTTGAATGTAAATATAAAATGCAATTGAGCAGCTAAAAGCTGGTAGGTCATAATAAACACTAAAGCTACGGGTACATCCATCCCCTGTTGTCTAAGTACAATGAACACTTCTGAGTTTTTGTTTAAGGCGCGCGCGTTTTGGAACAACTGAACAACTTAATGCATATGGCATATGGGCGTGTTTGGAGGCTGTGGATGGGCTGTCTGTCCTCGGGAGTCCGGACAGCTAGGAAATGTCTCTTAGCGTATTCGGCTTGGTGCCGTCCATATCGAAGCAGCGACAGTTGCACGAGGACACCGGACACTCTGAATTTTGCCTAAAGAAGTTTAATTAAGTTAAATTTATTAAGTTAAAAAAAAAACAATCCTTCAACTCACTTGAACCACTGCATTATATGTTCGGTGTGACCGCCATGACGGCAGGTCTGGCACCAGGAAAACCACTTGGAAAAGGGCTTCGTCTGCCAGCCGGAGGAGACTTCGGTGTGCGGCGTCTCGCCATTGCTCATGTTCACCATGGTGCCCATGTGCATCAAGCAAAGCGAGCAGCGCGGCAATGGCTTCCGACAGCTGGGGCAGGAGGCGAGACGATTGGTGCTGGTGGTGGTGCTCCTCGGACGTGGCTCGTCTAGCAGGGCATTCGACACGGACTTGCCGCAGAAATTGCAGGAGAGGAATACGGTACGAGAGCTGCGCGACGATGATCGAATGCTCTCTATTTTGATGTCCAGCTCGGCGCGTTTCTCCCACAGGCCCCAGCTGTTGAGGTGGTCCAAGTAGCTAGCTATCCAGTATTGGATGCGCTTGTCGGCGAAGTGCTCCTGGCGGAAATAGTTGATGGCCACCAGGGCCACCGTCTGGACATCGAAGCTGGTGTCCATGTAGGACTGTAGTATGCTGATGCCGTCCAGCGACTCTCCGGTGAGCAGCAATCCATTCAGATCCCCACTGTCTATGGACGACTGGATCTGCTGCGTCACATAGTCGGCCAGCTTCGTCTCGGATAGGTATTTGCAGGCGAAGGCCATGCGATCTGCCAGCGAAACGCCCTCCTCTTTGAGCACCGCCTCAAAGTTATCCTTCTCCATGGTGAGGAACGAGAAGATGGCCCTCAAATGTGGATCCTGTATCTGCATATTGGCGCTGGAGCGCTGATTCCGCCACGAGGAGCTGCACCGATCCGCATTGAAGCTGGACAGGGCTATCACTGTGATCCTGAACATGCTGGGATCCTTCATTTTGTCCGCTGCCAGCGAGAGGATTGTGCAGGCGTGATAGATCTTCAAATGGAATACACAAATCATGGCCGCTCGGCTGTATTCCTTGTTGGCGAAAAGCTGGTCAGCGAAGCGCTCCAGCTCGTGCTCAAAGACCCAGCCGCACAGGTTGAGAGCCGAATCACGCTGCTCGCTCCTGTAGCATATCAGCTTGTTGGAGTTGTTAATTCCCTCCGGCCACTGGAGCAGCTGAGATTCAATGCGGGAACTGGCCATCAAGGCCTCCGACGTGTGCCCCAAATTGATGCCCAACGTGGCCTTTAGGCCCGTCAACCGATCCTCGCTGTACACGTTGAGCAAGGTGGCCCAGACGTTGCGCAGGTATGGCGTCAAATGGAGCTCGGCGAATCGCTTGTTATCTGGCCTAATGCCATAATCTTCCAGAGCGCGCTGACGCGTCTCGTCCACCAGATCGAGTTCGAACAGCTCCGGCTCCAGATAGTCCACATTTAGGGCGGAGCCAGCCGGACTATGGAAATCTAGACAGCTTCCACTATTTGTGCTGCAGCTGCTCGTGGGCAGTTGCTGAGTGGGCGTAGCCGCATTCGTTGAAGAGGGTGTGGCGGCGGCAGCGGCATACAGAGGATGCTGCATCAGTAGCGGCAACTTCCGGCGATTACTGTGAGCGGTATGTAAGGTGGCGGGCAGACGGAAATCTAGAATATTCAGAGCGTCCGCCAGAACGAGCGTCCTCTCAAAGTCTCGCGAATGCCAAGAATGACAGTTGACGAAGGCGAACTTTCCACTGTGCTGATACTTTGCAGGAAGCGGACTGATCTGTCTTTTCACATGGTAAATCTCGCCGGAGTTTTCATTATCCACACTCCTGATATCGTACAGAGTGAGATAGGCAGAGTCCCGCTGCAGGGATGAGAGCAGGCTCGTCCTCGTCGGGCACCAGGCTATCTGCAGGTGATTCTTGGAGGACTGGATCTGACGCAGCGGACTCTTGATGTTGCGCGGATCCCACAGTGTGATCACAGAGTCCACGTAGCTGCACAGATAGTTGCCATTGGGGGACACCGATAGGCCCTGGACCGTCTTCGTTTGAATGCTCTGGCAGGTGGCGTTGCTTTCTGTGGAGAGGGATTATGAGATTGACTAAAGGAAGATTGGAAATAGCGACTCACGCCTTAGATCGAAGAGCTTGATCATCTTCTGGCTCATGCCGGCAATAACAGTGCGATGATTGCGGTCCCAGCACAGCGAATTGGCGGACTCGCCGACGCCAAAGAAGTTGGACGTCTCCTTGGGCACGCCGCGCTCTATGTCCCAAATGGTGATGCAAGTGTCGTTCCGATGGCGATCGTGTCCAATGGCCAGTATATTGGCATCCAGTTCGTTCCAGGCAAGGCACGTGCACATGCGCTGCTGCCGTGGTGCTGAAAAGGTAATCGTTAGAGGCATAGGGATAGCTAAGAGATTCCTCGGCACTCACTGTACTCCCAGCTGCTGTCGTAGGTGTCACGGAAATTGCAGATCCCCACCTTGCCGTCCGCCAGGCCCACGGCAATAATGGGCTGATCACTGTGATAGGAGGCCGCCACGCAGCGGGCATATTGGTAGCGGGACTCGTTGGCCAGGTAATTTACTGATATATACGGCAGGCGACCTGGAATAATAGCACAAGTTGGAAGCCAGAAAACATATGGACGAAAACCCATTAACTCACTTTTCTGGCTGTGATTGTGATCGTCCTTGCTGCGCACCTCGTACAAGTGGATTTCCTGGCCCCACGACACAAACTTGTCGGGGAAGTGGGGAAACCAGCTTAGCCCGTGTAAATTGCCACTCATCGTAAGCACTTTTCCATCGGCTTGGGAAAAACTATTCTCTAATTGCGTCGCGTTATCAGTGCAAAAACAAAAACGTGAGATAAACACTGCCGTGGAAGAGGAAGCAGCAACAGCAACACACAGCCGGTCGAACAGCTGTTTAGATTGGGCGTTAGCCAACACTGCTCAAGGGAGCACCTGCGTAAGCAATTTTTTTGTTTTTCTACCCCAAGCAAACGTGTTTAATTTTCATTTAACTCTCCTGTAATGCTGCCCAAAACACCCAAGCCCGCCATTTGGAAATTCATCAAGGGTAGTGCCAAGACATTATTCGTGCTGGAGGCAGTGTGCTTTGCAGCCAGCTACGGTGTCTATTACCGCATGAACACAAATCGAGGTGAGGAGAGCCTGCTCTTTACATAAGTATCAAAATAATAAATAATGCTGCTCCCTTAGAGTTTCGGCAACACATCCACGAGAACTATCCGTTCGTGCTTGATTATTATTATAAGATCGGCGAACTCGTTGGAGATAGTAAGGTGCGGCAGACGGACGCCACTTACTGGAGTGCCCAGAAGAAGAGCGACTAGGATTTACCCAATATGCTGAGCAATCCCTACTTTAAGTCCGTGCTGTGGCTGCTGGGCTTTGGTGGCATGGGCTACGGCCTTATGCTGTTGACCGAGCCAAATGCCGAAAAAATTGAGCGCATTAAGGCCTCCGGTTCAAATTCCAAACAAAGTGCAGATGACCAGCGGAAGGCATTGTTCATGAAGCGATTGCAGGAGGCGGCCACCACCGGTGCACCGGTGTACAGACCACAGCCACAGGTTGACAAAAAAGATAGTTAAGCGCACTAATATACAATTCACACAATTTGTTACATTTTAAAATAAAAATGTTAAGCATTTAATACATTTGGGATGTTTTTGCGGGCATACTTGAAGGAGAGGTTGTCTTCTTTGTTTAAAAATCCGTTAAATCTTAATTAATATTCTGAAACTAAATTATGGTGAGAAATTTATAGGTACAAAATCATCCTTTCGATATTTACCACAACAAAAGTTTCGATTAACCTTAATTTTAAGTGTTGTGTAACGCCTGCATATTGGCCAGATCTCGCCGTAGCGCATTTGCATTTAAATTGTAAATTAATTGCTAGTAGTGACCACGATTAAGGTTTTTGGCACATCTACAATGCCCGCTGAGGATGTGCCACTAAGAGGCACGGCCAACATGCCATCGGCCGTGCAATTTGACGCCAACAAGGACTTCCATTCGCGCACGCATCAGAAGGAGCTAGATAGCACTTTTCTGGGCAACGACCGCCGTCCGTGGATAAAGAAGAAAGCCCACATGGACTCACGCCACGAACGCCAAGTCCTTAATACCTTGTTGTCCAGCAGCCTGCAGACGGACCATGCCGGCAGCTGTGTGGACAAACTGATTTCGGAGGACATCAGCTACCGGGACCTGGCATCGCTCACCGACGAGGACTTGAAGCTGTTCGGTTTCACGTCGAACCAGCAACGCAAGGAGCTCTTGGAGTTGTTTGCCACGATGCCAAATCAGGATCCCAGCTACGAGTACATCTGCAATGCCCCGGAGGCGAATGTCTATAACAACCAGATACTGGGCAATGCCGGAAACCACTTCATGTCTCTGCGTGCCTCTCTGGCCGCCACCAACTACAAGCTGCAGGTGTTGCCGCCAGAGGACGTTGTTGTGGGCGATAAGCGCTATGCCAGTCGCTTTGCTTTGGAAACACTCAAGAGCGTGAAGCAAATCACGGACGAGATAGCCAACGACCTAAGGAAAATCGAGACCAATGTCCAGACTCTTAGGAACGAGAAGGATAACAAGGCCAAGGAGAACGCAAAGAAGGTGACTATTGAGGTGGCACTTTTATGTTCTATAACCAATTACCCTTTTTGTTATTACAGAAAAAGTTCAGCCTTGCAACAATTGTATACTTCACTACATTGGCGGTGGGATTCTCCTGTGCCTGGTTCTGGTGGTGGAGCAAGTTCCAAGCAGCTCCCCGTTTGGAGAGGATCTCAGTTCAGACTTAAAAGTATTAACCATAACGAAGCATTTAATAGTTGCATTCCCATTTTCTCATAGAGCATAAGCCCAGAGTTGTTCAAATTTACGTATTTTTCGGTTAAGCTTCCCGTATGAATCTCAAGCTGTAATGTAGACATACTGCCCAACATGAAGAGTCACAAAAAAAGGTATTAAAACACTGAATATTTACTCCTGTTTATTGCTTTAAGTTTAGTTCTTCGGAGAGGAGAAGGAAACCCAAGTGCACATATGTATCCACGTGCTCGGGGAACTCCCAAAAAGTCGTGTAGGCGATCAGTTGGCTCCTGTCGATCGCGTGGGCAATGTTTTCTACAAACATTAATTAATGAAAATAAGTTAACCAGATGTGTATTAAATCCTCACCCGCCACATCCTTTTTAATCAAGGCCTCCTGTTCGTATCTTTCCGCTAGTTCTTTGGTAAAAACCACAAACTGTGGCAACTTCCAGGATCTATAGAATATCGTATCCGCTGCAGCACCGGGCAATTTGGAAATGGCTCTCAGTTGCCGTAGAATCTCCTTGGTGTTATTAGCTATATCGCCGAAAATCGAGGCTATGATGGCCAACTTGTTGCAGGGCAGGATTAGGTCATCTGGATAGGTTTTACTCTTCTCCTCCTCGCTTTTGTCCAAGCACTTGGTCTTCTTGGCTTCAATGGCATAGCAAATGGCGGTGCCGCGCTGCTGGGCCAGCTGCCATTTGGCGTAGTTGTCCTGCAGTTGCTTGGTTAAGCTGTCTAGTCGAGTTTTACAGGTGGCCAAGGTTGAATCGTGGCTAGTGGTCGGCGATTGCTGGCGTGGGCTGTCGAGATCTGTAAATGTGTGATTACATTTAGATCCCAAATAATACTTAGAGATAACTTACATCGTACTGGTGTCAAAGATACGTTTAAATTGGCTTCACACGGCTTTTGCGGTGTTTTATTAGCTTTGGTCATTTTGTAAACAATGTGAAACCAGTGTTGCACACCTTCTTGAGTATTTTTTAACACACCGATAAATAAAATCGATAAGTTTTATTTCGATTTTTAGAAAACCGTTCAGCTGATTTGAATCGATGTTTTCCCACCTCTAGCATGTTAAGCTCATTTTGAAAAGCTTTCCAACACTCCCAACACAAAAGTGCCGGTAATTGTCTAGACAACAATTTTCGATCTGTCGGCGTTCATTTTCTTTTGAAATCTAATTCGGAACGCAGTAAAATCCAAATTACAAAAAACCAGAAAATGTCGACCTGGATACCACTCGAATCCAACCCGGAGGTGAGCATACAAAATAATGACCTAGTTTCGCCATTTTCGCCAATGGTTGTTGTTGCAAATATGTTTGACTCCTTGGAATTGTAATTAAAGGGTAAAGACGCCATTTTTTGTGCCCATTCCTAGGTGCTGACCAAGTACATACATAAGCTGGGCGTGTCGCCAGCCTGGTCGGTGACTGACGTCATCGGACTGGACGAGGATACACTGGAATGGATTCCGCGTCCGGTGAAGGCCTTCATTTTGCTGTTTCCCTGCAGCGAATCTGTGAGTTGTACCCTGTATGAATTGGTTGCATTTTCGTCAAGTAAGATGTATTTTTTTTTACAGTATGAGAAGCATCGCGCCGAGGAGCATGAGCGCATCAAGGAAGTGAAGGAGGAGCATCCCTCCAATCTCTTTTACATGCGCCAGTTCACCCACAATGCCTGTGGCACCGTGGCCCTTATCCATAGCGTGGCCAACAATAAAGAGTGGGTTTTCTTTAGTTTTGTATAAAAAACCAATGTAAAAGTTCGTCTCTTCCAGAGTTGATATTGACACTGGAGTTTTGAAGAGCTTCCTGGAGAAGACAGCCTCGCTAACCCCGGAGGAACGTGGCCAGGCTTTGGAGACCGACCAGGACTTCACCGCCGATCATCAGGCCTTGGCTCAGGAGGGTCAGACCAATGCCTCCGAGCACGAGACGGTGATCCATCATTTTATAGCCCTGGTGAACATTGAAGGGACTCTGTACGAACTGGATGGACGCAAGTCCTTCCCAATTAAGCATGGCGCCACCTCGGAAGAGAGCTTTGTAAAGGATGCCGCCAAGGTCTGCAAAGAGTTCATGGCTCGCGATCCCAACGAAGTGCGCTTCACTGTCTTGGCCTTGACTGCTGCGCAGGATTAGGCTGGATCTTAAATCTCATAACAGTCCCACCACGATCTTTGGTCTACCAGAAAAACATACATTTAAAACCTATATACATATATATGATATTTATAAGGCCGAACAGGCGAACGAAGCCCCGCCTTTCGGCTGCCAGAAAGCCAACAGTTTACGCATATTTATTTCGCTTTCGAGCCAAAGCCACAAATGTATTGGGAACATATTTAATTTGTTATTAAAGAGTGCACTCGAGCTTGATGCTAAGCTTATACCGAATATGCATTATGTGGATTCTTTGCTTGGGAATTCTCTGGGGTAATCAAACAATTGATAATTCCTTTGTTCTTAATTCAAATTATCTCCCCTTTTGGCCACCCCTGTGCAGTAGAACAGCTGATAACGCTGTGGCCTCCAGTGCGCATGCCCCTGGCAATTGGACATGCTCCACGTAGACGCTTGACAGCTGTCCCCACCCCAAGCAGCGCTTCCTATTAACAAAAGTAAACCAGGTTTTTCTTTTTTCTCCAGCCAGTTGACAAAACGCAATTGCCAGGAATACTTAACGCTGGACAGGGATTACAACGAAGCTATATATCCAGCCCAGAACCCTCCAGGAGTGCCGACCATCGAGTTGATGCCGAGTAGGAGGGGCAACGGTGCAGGCAAGAGCGAGTGGAGGAGTGCTGGCCAGGATGCGGCTGCTCAAGGAACTGATGCGTGTGGCCACACAAAATCGTGCCTTCTACTGTTATGTGCTGCTCAGCGTTTGGATATTCCTACTCATAGCGGGTAAGTCTAACTTCTTAAATATTTATTATAAAAAAAGATAATCTTCCACTAAATAAATTCCCTTTCACCTTCCAGGAATGTATCGTTATATGGGCAATGTTGAGAGCATACCCGGTGGTGGCTCTGTTTTTGGTCCAAGCTCATCTGGCACCGTCAGCAGTTCCTTGGGTGGCGGCGAAGGCGCCCCAGCGAAAGCCTCCTCCACCGCCCAGAGATTCGCCAAGTACAGAGAGCGCTGTGCGCCGCTCTCACAGCTCCAGCGTTTCGATGATGGCGGCCTCTTGGAGGGTTGGAAACTTCAGGGCGTACTCCTGGTCATTCGACATGGAGATCGTGGGCCCATATCCCATGTCCGTAGTGCTGGCATCAATTGTGGAGTGACTGGTGGCACAGATAACCTGGTTAATAGGTAAGTTACACTACCGCCAGGGATTACCTATTAATTTTGTAAATTTTCCTCTTCAGATATCGCAGCTTTCTTTACAATTCGAGCAGCTCTGCCTCCGGTTCGAATCACATGTACTGGAACAAGGTGGGGCCATTCCATGGGTTTCCTCTGCTTCCGGCCACGGAGCGTGGTTGTCCGCTGGGACAGCTCACCTACAAGTGAGTGGGATAACCCAGAAGGAAGCCTGTAATAATACACCCATTTTCTTTTCCTTTCCGTCAGAGGCATCTCGCAGCTGCTCCACGTTGGCGAGATCATGCATCAGGTGTACGCCCATGCGTTAGGCCTCCTACTTAAGCCAAATCCAAATCGTGCTTCGGTGGAAACGACGCCACACACGCTGTTAAATTCGGACGAAGTGGTGGTCTTTACCACACGTTATCGGCGCACCTTCCAATCCGCCCTGGCCATGTTGTTCTCCCTGCTGCCGGCGGACAAGTGGCTGGCCCTAAATGTCCGCGAATCGCACAGCATGGCTTTCTGCTTCAGCGAGTGCAGTTGTCCCCAGTCGGCATTGCTCCGGAAGCGATTGGACGCCATGATGGATAAACAGCTTCTGAAGCGTAACGATGTCCTGGGCGTGATGCAGTGGATCGGCGGCACCATACTGCAGCACACACCCAATGGGATCAGCAATCCCTTTGAGGTGGTGGATGCCTTGTTGACGGTCCTATGCCATGATGCTGCCTTGCCATGTCGGAGGAAAAAACAGCCTGTCACGCCAAAGCCGGGCAAGAAGAACTCCAATCAGGAGCTGGTGGATGTGATCAATATAGATCAGGATGAAACGGCCGCCAATCTGTTGCAGGTAATATTGGGTACCATAAGGTACATATATACTTCCCAAAAAATGTTTACATTTATATTAAAAAAAAAAAATAGGAGGCCCAAGGACAGATGGAGCCCGATTCCCCAGAGGCAGAGAACGGAAATCCCCTGCTGCAGGCAGACGAATCCCCCCAAGAGGGCTGTGTGGAACCCACCCATGTGGACACCCTAATGTCGCTTGCCGACGAGATTTCCCAACGCTCCGCTGGCCACTCATACTACAAACTATCCGGATTGCTCCGTTCCTATGGCATGATCCGTCACATTGTCAGCTATATGCTCAAGATGATCTCCGGGGATAGAACAAAGTTTGTGCTATATTCCGGACACGATTGCACCCTGCAATATCTGACAGCAGCCTTGGGCATCATCAGTCCCAGCCAGGGTAAAACTATAGCGTATGCCTCTAGATTGGCATTCGAGGTCTATCGGAGCGAGGCGCACACGGATTACTATTTCCGTGTGGTGTACAACGGCAGAGATGTGACCCAGCAGATCGATTTTTGCGAGGGCGGCAAGAGCCTGAGGGTGACCAGGGACTCTAGGGGGAATAAGGCCGACCTGTGTCCCATTGAGAACATTATACGTTTCCTGCACGAGGATTACTTTAGTCCACTGAATGCCACCAATTTTAAAGAAGCCTGCGGAGCTGTTAATCCCCCCAAAGCCCCCGAGTTCTAGTGGAGAAAGGGAAACCCCCCTTAAAAACTGTGATAAGTAGTTAAGATGCCACCCGCGAAAAAAAAAAAGGAGAAGCAGGATCTCGATTATCCTTCACACGACCGCTTTTTAGCGATGTTATCTCTGTTACTTAAGTCGCAAATTAGTTAACTTGAGTTGTTCAACTTGTTGATCCACAAATCGCAATCGATACATATCAATGGAGCACTTGTTAGCTTTTTAGGAACCAAAACATCTTTTAGAACGTAAAAGTAAACAAATCGTAAACATATCAACCAACTTTTAAACGAATTAAAACGAAGAAATCCTTCCGCGAATTGTAGAGTTAAACATTTTCGAGTTTAAGAAAATTGCATATTTTTACGCATTCCAAATAAAACATTCCTCTCGTGAAATCATAAGAATCTAATGTCCAAGGTAATACAAATTTTAGGATGATGATAATGCCCATATAACTCGCACCCCCTTATACATCTTAAAGCATATATTACCATTGGTAATATGTATTTAGTTTATAAGAAAAAGTCTTAAGAGAAATGTAAACATATCAAGAAGTTACACATCCACTTTACAAATTTAAAAATTTAATTACTTAAGCCTCAAAACTTAAAGCTAATATACATTATATTGGTGGAATATAACAAGGATTCTACTAGAAATTACCTTTACAAGTGTAATAAAGTTTTGAAATAAATGTTCTAAAATTAGCATAATATTAAAATTACTGACTCGGGTGCAATCTTTTACTTATGTATTATTTTTAAGTATTTTTATTTAGATTGAGCGACTTGCAGAAGCCCACCTTTAAATGATCCAGTTCGTCCAAGCTCTGCATCGGTCCCTAACAATTTATCCAAGGTCACAGCTGATAAGTGCTTTATCTGCTTTAAGATCTCATATTTGGGTTCAGTTAGTCTAGCGATCGGTTGTGTTTTGTGTTTATTGTTTTGCCGGTATGCACGTGGTAATTTTTTACAATTATAATCGAATGAAGTGAATGTACTATTGCTACTTACTTTGGATAGTGGAGAGTTCGCTCGAGCAGGTGTAAAACTTGCCTTTGGGTCTCTCATCCACCTTTTCAGACTACAGCCTAAGTCTCTGGTTTCCAAAAGCTTGAGTATTCTGATAAACCTCTCAGTGAACAAGTGGTTTTCTCGGACAACAAATTCAAGTAATATCGTTTTTACCCAGCTGTGCTGTATATAGTTTATAGATTTAGTATATCTAACACATGTAGATAATTGTTACGACCTCGAATTGGTGTTGATAGTACTCTGCAGTTTTTATATCTCAGATAACTAACTAACAATAAGGTTAAACAACCAAAATCTCAGTTTCAGGAGATAAAGAGCTTTCACCATTAGTCTGGAAGACGTCGTTAGAAATGGACAGCTTCAGGTTTGGCATTGTCGACTATGTCGTGTTCCTTGGCACTACCATTTTATCCATTGGTATAGGAGTGTATTACGGTTGGATAAAGTGAGTAAATTCCATTTATGCTAAGGTTAGATTAGAAGAAAGAAACCTATTTAATCCACTTTATAGAAAAACCAAGAGAAATACGGAAACATGTACTCCAAGTGCTCCTTCAGGAATAAAATCAAAGCGGGATTTGGGTTCAGAAAAGATGAACGAATATCTGATGGGATCCCGCAATCTGAAAGTGCTTCCCGTAGCTATGAGTCTAATAGCCAGGTGAGGCTTAAATTATGAATAATTCTTTGCTAATTTTGTTCTGCTTATAGCTATATTTCGGGCGTTTCAATTCTTGGCACTCCTTCAGAAATCTATAATTACGGCACACAGTATTGTCTTATTGTCATACCAATTATTGTCCATGGACTGATTGTCTCATATGTCTATTTGCCAGTGTATTCCACTCTTCAGGTTGGCTCATCGTTCGAGGTAGGCCGAAAAATCTCTTATTTTTTGCCTCAATTATTATAATATTTAATATAGTACCTAGAGATGCGTTTCCATTCGAGTATACGAAGCATAGCCTCTATTATTTTCGTGTCAAATGTGGTAAGTTAAGTTTATATATCTGAAATTTAAGTTCATTTATTAATAAGGTTGATTTTAGGCTTTATATTTACCCTTTCTGGTCTATTTACCTGCTTTGGCTTTAAATCAGGGTAAGTTTTAGCTCAATTACAATTCCAAAAAACTTGTCTAATATTGATTTTTAAACACAGTATCAGGCCTTGATATGTATCTTATAGAAGTATTGATTATTGTGGTGTGTGTTATATACACGATATTGGTAAGAGATTTTAATTTATTAATCAGGAAAATAAGCTACCTTTCCTAACATTCAGAATCTTTAACCTATAATACTTTAAATGATCTCTCTTTAGGGCGGTCTTAAGGCTGTGGTACACACAGATGTCTGGCAGGTGTTGATCATGTTTATCTCAGTCGTGGTTGTGGCTATTCTGGCCACTTGCTACATCGAGGACTTTGAGGCGTTTTGGCAAGGTTTAGAGCAGGGAGGACGACTTATAATTGCCAACATTAGTCCCTCCCCTTACGACCGTCAAACAGTTTGGAGCGTTCTCATCGGTGGCCTATTTTACTGGACTTCAACGAATGCTATATCCCCCACGATGGTACATCGGTACATGTCCCTTCCCTCGCTCAACAAGGCCAGAGCAGCCATCGGCATATTCAGCGTTGGATCTGCTCTCTTTATCATTATTCTTTGCTTCTTGGGAGTGTTGATTTTTCACACATTCCACGACTGCGATCCATTGAGTGCTGGAATGATCCTGGTGGGTATATACAGCTTTAGAGTACAAAAATCGTTTTATTAATTGCTTATCTGGCCAGGATGATGATCAACTGATGCCCCTCTTTGTGATCAAGGTTGCTGGTCATATCTATGGCATGCCTGGTCTCTTTATAGCCGGAATATTTGGAGCTGGCCTAAGTTCCCTGTCGGTGTACTTCAACTCCACATCGCTAGTGTTCCTTGAGGATATAGTGCGTGGCTGCTTTAAAATGCAACCCGGCGAAAGAGCCTCCACAATTTTAGTGAAATCCAGCATTGTTGTCCTGGGTGTCCTGGCTTTTGCTCTAATCTTCCTCCTCGAGCAGGCAAGTGGCGTCTTGAGCATCTGGACCTCAGTGGCAGCCATTGCATCGGGAGCTACATTTGGAATTTTCACCCTGGGAATGCTGGTTCCTTGGGCAAACACCATAGGCACAGCAGTGGGAGCAATTGCCGGGTTCCTCCTTTCAGGATGGATAACTTTTGGAATGCAGATCACAGCCGCAGCAGGACAACTAAACTCCCAGAAGCTTCCCGTTTCCGTGCAGGGTTGTACGGGCAATGTGACGCTTCCAGAAAGTATTTGGAAGGACGAGGATCAGGTGTTTCCTCTGTACCGGTTGTCCTATCTTTGGGTGACCCCCATCGGAGTGCTTACGTCCATCGTGGTGGGCTCTCTGGTCTCCCTGGTGACCAAACCCACAGATATGAAGTCTGTTAATCCAGATTTAATATCCCCAGTGATTCACAGGTACAAAGCAGATTTTGAATTCGATACTAAACGTACAGATATTATATATGTATATCCTTCTCATTTTAGATTCCTTCCAAAGGACTGCTTTAAACGTTTCAATAATGCTGAGGGGCGCGCTGATCTTGATAATAGGATATAAAATATTTGTTTCTTTCGTACTATTTCACTTTGTTATTTTGATTAATTATATGTTAGCCTGATTCCGTTTATATTTTTTTCTTAATTCATTAAAGCCTGCACCGAAATACTAAAAGCTAAAAGAATGAAGATAGTTTTTATATTCATTCTATGAATTTTCCAGACTGAGAAGTAAATATTAAAGACCTTTAAAATTGAGTTTTATAAAAAGTGCACGGTTTTGGAAATGTCGTTGATAAAGTCATAGCCCCCATGGATTATATGTTAAATTAAAAATTAACTAAAATCTTAATTTTTCTTTATTATTTTTTTTATTTATAATGTAATGTAATGTACGTAGCACGACAACTAAAAAACATTATTTTGCAAACATTAACGTTAAACTCATCTCCTCGACCTTGAAGCTCCAACTGAGCTCCAAAGAGAGAACGACCGCCAATGCATTTGCAAACTTTTTTTCTGCCTCTGCTGCAGCGCTGCCTTGGCATGGGTGTGAGTGCCCGCTCTCGCACACAAACAAGAAAAGCGCATCACCAGCAGGAATGATAAAGCAAACGAGAGCAAAGACCCCGCCAAAAGCCGGACAAATAACAACAAATAAAAAAAAAAACAAAAGCGGGGAGTGGAGTGGAGTCATCACTGCCTGTGGGAAAGAGGGGCACAGCAGTAAATGGGGAGCCAAGCGCGCAAGTATAGCGCACACACTCGCACACACAGAAACACACAAAAAGGGGGGCGAGAGAGCGCACGAGTGGAAGGGGGCATCGCGCAATGAGCGCTTGTACGTACCGAGAATACAGCGTAATGTAAAATCGTCGCTCTCCACAATACTGAGAGCCTGTTGGCATTCAGTACATTTTGTTACTTTTGTGCACGCAGCTCGCATTTTGGAGGAACACTCGGGGAAAAAGGCCGGAAAAAAAGCCCGGAGCGGAACTCGCAAGGGGAATATACAATATACCGCTCAGCCAGGAGAAGTTGGAGTTGTAATGGACACTCCTCTCTCTCTCCTTCTTTGATTTTGTGTGCAGCCCCCCATTGAAATCCTTTGAAAAAATCAGCGTACATATGTGTCGTAATGGAACCCTAGGGCAATCTTCGCTCGCATGGTGCATGGTTGTGTTACATTGGGAAAAGGAGCCCAGATTTCGCAGCCGCGCGATGCACTTGCAAAAGCCCCAACGTGAGAGAGAGAGAGGAGAGTGAGCGAGAGCACCAAAAGTGGGCGGAGCAGGAGCGCCCACCGATTTTTTGCAGTCTCTGAGTCTCCTCGCAAATCTCGATACAATGTTAATGTGCACCAATACCAGTGCAGCCGCCGCATCAGCGCTGCTGCGTTTGCTGCACGCCGCTGAGTGCGCCTTCGTCTTCTGGGCTGTTTTCGTGTTTTGGCGTGTGGGGGCACAGTTTTGCAGCTTGCAATCCGATGCACTCGCTCTTGCACTGTCCCCCATTCCGTACCTCCTTCCCTCACTTCCCCTCAGCTGACTGTTTTCTTGTCTGAGAGGAGACCCTATATCTGTCTTTTTCTTGCTCAGCGATGCATTCACACATGTGCCATGCACTTGCACAGTGGACTCGATTCGCTGAGACAATAAATAAAATATATCAAATTCTGCTAACAATAAATTCCTTGTCGATTAAAAACTATAATTTACGAAATTTAACTTGAGAAAATGCTATGCTGAGGTCTCCAAATTAAAATTATTTTTACAGCTCGAAATGCATTTTAGTTCCATTAACCCCATCTGTGTTCCACTGTAAGTAAACTGCATTGCTCTTTTGCTCCTCCGTCCAATTGTCTTTGTCTCGCTTGCTCGCTTTGAAAAAAGGCAACCAAACAGCACGAGGTGTCTTCTCGCTTGCTCTCTTTTTTTACCCCTCTTCCGCCCCCACCTCGCTCAGACGGTCGTTTGGACTGTGCATTTTTATTTCGTTACACAATTCCGGAGCCGAGAAATCGCTGGCTGCATCGGTGCTGCGCCTCTGTTACAAAATATTGACGAAGAAAAATCATACAACGTTTTTTTTCAAACCTTTTTTTTTCAACCATTTTTCATCGGTGCAACGCCAGCGAAATGTGATTTTTAGCCCAAGTTTTGAAGAGTCGGGGTGCTTCTATGAAAAGGGGGCAGTCGAGACTTCTATGCGGCTGCTTGTCAGCCCGATGGGGTTTTCCATTTTGGGGAAAAACTGTGGGCAGGATTTTTCCTAGGCGCCAAATAGATGCAACCAGTTGGAGTTGCACAGGTGTGTTGCAAGTGCAGCGGTGCTACTCGATGCCGGTGGTTCGGGCTGCCGCTTGGAGAGATCGTCTAACAAAAAAGCAAAAACCGAAAGCCGAAAGAGTTTTCCCAGCAACTGCATTCGGAACTAGGCTCGCCGCCGACTATGCTTCGTTTCTGTTTCGGTCCCACAGAGCTCTTCGTCGGCAGGCGGAGCACAGATGGCCGAGCATCGGCAGATGCATTTTTCGCTGCACTCGATGCACTTTTCAAATGTGCGAGTACTAGTGCACTGGGAGGGGGGACACACATTACAGTTTTCCACGCTAGCAAGGCAGAAGGGGCGGCGATAGGAGCCCTAGCCCAACCCCTCCCCCCTACCACCTCATCTAGCCCAGCTCTTGCTCTTTGCTCTCAGAGAGGGAGAGTACAGCTGTAAAATGGGTGTGAGTGTGATAAGTGCAGCGACGTGCACATAGAAGAAATTGCGATGACGTTGGCGTAATTGCAACACAAAGCCAAAGAACAAAGACGGAAGGGGGAATATAAAAGAAAGAAGATAAGCAATGTACGAAAATAAGACATATGTATTTTATTTACGTAATTTAACTTTGTATTTTCACTTGTACCAATAGGCCATAAAGCACAACGAGGGAATATGTAATATCTACATAGTAAATAGACAAATGTTTACTTTTTTGTTATTTTAATTTATTAGTACAACTAACTTAGTAAGTTATAAATTCTTAATAAATTTCAGCTCAATTTTATATCCTTTTAAAAACCCAAACCAAAATAATATTAAAACCAAATCATATGGCTATCGATAAGATTCTCTTTTATTCTCCCATTGTGTTATTCTTTTTTGTAGGGGCAAAGAACGAGCGAAGAGCGGGAGCGATTATACGGTGCAATGCACTGGCCGCGGGTACATTGGCCCCACTCTCGCACACAAACAACCACAACAAAAGGCAATAACAACAAGCTGTGCGACCTTCCTTCTCTACAGCCTACCTCCGTCTCGCTCTTTGTCTTGTTCCGCCGTTCGACGTTCGCCGTTACGTGTTACGTATACGACTTTGGTATTCTGATCGCCTGTTCCATTAACATGGCATGACGCAAACTCCACCGAGAACGTACATTTCGGACCCACAAAGCGCCTCCAACAGATTCGAGTGGATCCCAAAAGGCAGGAGAGATGAACATATGTGGCAGGGGATCCCCGCTTTCCGGGGCAACTCCTTAACAGCGACGCGCATAGAAAATCATTAGAAGTTACCCAAGAGCTACCAAGTTGTCATAGAAATAGCAAAAGTCTGGACGCAACTCTGGAGCCGAGCTGGGAGCCCGAGCCCTCCCCACAAATGGGTTTCGAGTGGAGGAGCATGGGATTGGGTTTCAGGTTCTGGCTTCGGTTCGGGATTGGTTTCTTCTGAGCGCGACGGATGGGTTGGGTTCCGTTCCTCCTCTACCCGCTAACATCGATTGGGGGGCCGTGGTTGTTGGGGGCTGTAAAATTAACATAACAAAAAAGGGAACACTTGTCGTCGTCCCTCCACATTTACCATTTTCCCCCATTATAATTTCACATTTTTATAGCGCAATTTCTTGGAGCCTGTTCGATTATATTTTAAGCACACAAACGTCGTTCGGGCCACAGAAATGGCCCAAGGTATCATTATCCCGGGCAATGGATTTCGTGGTTTCAAGCCACTTTTTCGGTTCGGCGGGGCACGCCTTCTAAAATTATAATTTATTATTATTATATTTCGTTTGCTTAATTGCACCAGGAAAACAGAAGTAATCGCGCACCACGAACCGCGGAGCAAAAGCCGCCGAATCCACACCGACGTGCATTCAAGCCACAGCGACGGAAACAGGCCACCATCCTCGTTCAGACCATGGCCAGAAAGCCACTTCCCATTACCACTTCGATCGCGCACAAGAAAAAATAATCTATTTAATAGATTTCATTTGATTTAAATGTTTTTTTCTCTGATTGGTTTTATTAGTTTCCATTAAGGGAACTACTTCATAGTAATATTATAATCAAAATCTAAAAAAATAATTTTAAACTGAATTCGGTACCTAATTATATATGTATGTACATTTAGAAAGAGTTTTATGTAATTTAAAAACCTTAGAAATTTAAAAACACTGTTATTCACACACCCCATTTATTCCAATTATTAGATTTTTATTGACTCCCCACCCAATTAAAATACTTTTCTCCCAGTGCATTTCCCCAGCTACCCCGCGGAACCACTGACTGTTCTCTGTTTACTGATTTCTGCGCTTCGGTGTGCTGTCTCTTGTTGGGCAAAAAATCGAAAAAGATGGCTACTAGCAGGGCGGGCTAACAGAAACCATAGCAGAGTGGAGCAGAGGCGTACATGGGAGCATTTCTCCACCTCCTCGCAAGCTGGGGAAGATGGGGAAGATGATGCGGCGGAGCAGACACACACACCACACAAACTCTCACTGGCAAGAAGAGGGATTAGATAGAGACGGCGGTATGCATGCTGTTGAGGGGCTCCTCCACAACACCGTACTATAGCCCCCACTCGACCGAGACCTTCTCAAGGTCCAATCGTTCCCCAATCGGTGGAGCCTCCACGGTTTTTAGTCGCAGCGCACACACGCGGACATGGGGAAGTCTTGACTATCGTAGCAGGCGACCAGAAGTCCCCGGACAGGTGCACACACACAGTGGGGAGGGTGGAAAAATCCGATTATCGCGCATTCCAATTGTTCACTCTCGGTTTGTTTGGGTTTGTTTCGTCGCGTATCAGTCAAATGAGCTGCCGCTTGCGCTGCCTCCGCTCGTTCCGCTATTCAGCTCGGTTACGTCACGCCAACACCTAGTCCGGTGGTGATTTTGTAAGGGGGTTTGCAGGGGAACCAGGGCGGGTATCTTATATTATATGGTCTAAGTTTTGGTGTACGGAAAGGCGGCGCGTGGGTCGTAAAAATTTGTGGGGTTTGTTAACGATAATATACGAGTTAACCACAGGCATTAAAATAAAATTAAGTTCCATATTTACATACTAAAGAAAATTTCATTCATTTTCCAAGGATTATGTCGAGACTAAAAAAGATTACAAGGAAATCACCAAACTTTTTGTAGCATACTTTTGGATACTTTTTTTTAACAGAATTTTAAACCGCAAAAGATTTTGGCTCTACTTCCCACTGCCGATCCACCTTAAAAATTCATTTTTGACTCCAAAAATTTCCCATCCCCAACGCCACTGTTTTTCTTCCGTTTTTTTTTTTTTTTTGTTTTCGATGCCTCCAATAAAAGTTGCATGCGAGCAGTACCCCCCAGTATCATCAAATCGATATTATCCGGCTCAGTGGCAAAGTTGACACAATCCACCTGGCCAACAGGTGCGACAGAACGACAATTCCATTCAAAAACAAAATCGGGTACCCCTTAAATATCGAAAATCGCAGGTGGAAGAACTCTGGGTGCTGTGCTTTGGGGGCGATTGCTAAAAGGATACTTTCATTTTATACCCGGCGAGAGAGTGCAAACAATTTTTAGTGAAATTTTCGAATAGGCGAACAGCAAATTTGTAGGGCTCGCTTTTTGCCAGAGGTTTGTGTTATTTTTTTGGTTCCGATTCCCCGATTCTGCCGACAACGACGACGGCGACGACGACACTTGATGATGATGATACTACACACACCCGTATTTGGTTTGTTGTGTGTGTTTGTGGTGTGTTACGTTTACGGCGCGAGAACGAAACAAAAATGTTCTAAATAATGACGGGAGCACCGGCAGCAACAACACCAAGAGCCACTTAGAATGATAAAACAAACACTGGAACAATGGAACAACAACAAAAGCTCCAGAGAGGAGCATACACTCACGCACACCCCTGCGAAAAGTGGGTGGTGTTGCGGCGAGGGCGCGTGGGGGATATGAATGTATGGGAGGAGGGTCAGGGCTGGTTGGCCCGCTCGCACTCGCGCGGCAATGACTTTGAAACAAATTTGACAGCCGGCGGCGGCAGAGGAAGGGGAAGAGCCATACTTGATCACGGCACGAACAGCAAACAAGCAGATGAGATAACCAACATCCCCACCAGACAGCAACAAAAACCATAATCGCGAACATTATTTTTGCCCAGAGAACGTTTGGGATGTGCTCATCAGTGCTGTTTATTCTCATTGTTAACAAAAGAAAAACGGAACAATTCTCCGATACCCTGTATCCACAGCTCTGTTGAAATATATTGCATACCCAGAAGGCGTTAACGAGCTTAATTTATTTACGTACAAAAAAAATTAAGAAAATAAAAACTATATTATATGTACGTATGTAAGCTCTAAACCATTTCCATTTTTGCTTGCTTATTTAGCTTACGTCTAAAAGTGCCAAATATCAATGACAATATTTTAGCTAAAAATAAAAGCTATTTTCTTTGAGCAAATGCCACCTCTATATTTTGTCCATGTGCTCTCCAGCTGAATAATTAGCATTCTGCCTATGACCATCCCTTTCTCACGCACAAGCCACACGCGGGCAGCGACCACATAACAACCCAATTCACCACGACAAAGCGGCCCCAAAGGTAAATGAACTGCCCCGTGGGCGCTCTCTGTCCCTCTCTTCCTCCCACTCGTGCGTGCGCAGTGTGAGTGTGTGTGTGTGTGAGTAAGCTTATTTCAATGCCAAGGTGATGGCCTCGCCACGCTGTCTCTCTCCCGCGCTGTGGTGCGCCTCTGTTTGTCTCGCTCACCCTGGCCACCTCCTACAGTTTTCTGCTCTACTGTTACCGTTAAAACTTAAACTTAAAACAGTTCAAACATTTTTTACAACGAAAAAATCGCAACCGGAGGAGCAGCAGCTGCGAACATCTACGTACAATCGCGCGCCATTGAATCCAATTCAATCCACTCGGCAAACTCACTCGAGTAGCGCGTTTGAATTCGCAGCGGGCCACGCCCCCGCCGACCGAAAAGTGGGCGCTGGCGTAGGACAAGTGCGAGATTACGAGTGAGTGAGTGAATCTGAATAGTGTGAATGCCTTATATTCGTAGCGGTTTTGTGAATTTTGTAACAGGAACTCAGGTGTTCGGGACCAATGAGCGAGCCGCCCCTTAGGCACGAAAGAGATGAATATATGCCGCAATGTTTGCTCAGTGCCCCGGCTCTCTGCTCCACTCGCTGAGAGCCTGTTAACTGTTTTAGTTAAAGAGCAATCCATTTTGTTTTGCCACAAGGAAAAGGAGTAGCGCCTATGTTCTGTCCCCACCGCAAGCGCACACACTATAGTCATCTCAGTTTGCACGCGTCAAAAGCTAAGGGGAAAGGAATGTGGGAAAGAGTGCGAGTGCTTGAAGACAAATGCAGCTGGAGTTGTTTTGTTTTCCTTTTGCTTTGGAGAGCAGCTCTGAAGTAGGTTAAAGGATTTTTAAATTTATTAAATCCTTGTGTCTTAGGTTTGTTTATTAACAAATATTAAAGCTCTGTTTTCAGCACAATAATTAATCATTATTTATGCCGCCCCTTAAGCTTTAAGCGCATTTGCACAAAAGCTGAACAACGACAGTTTTTAGCTATCTTCAAATTGGAATTGGCAAAACACAGCTTATTGTCAAAGCTCGAAATTAAATAAATAATTTCTCATTGCTAATCAGAATCTGACATTATATTGATACTCTAATTGGACAGTAATTTAAAGAGTTTCTCTATTTCCATTGCTTTTGAGCTTCTCCTTTGAGAGCTGGGAAAGTTTGGTTTCCGAAACGAGCTTGTTTCCATTCTGAGCTGGAAGACTGAGGCTCCGTTTGTTTCCGTAGAGGGGGGGGTTACCCTTACCCTTTCTTGTCTTTTTGGCTTTCTGATAAAACTTTGAATCCGCAAAGCACTAAAAGCATTAACAACGCTTTTGAATGTGTGCGTGAGTAAGAAAGAAGGTGCTTTTGATTTAATAAAGTTTATAAATGCCTAATCCGTCAGATAAAAATATTGGGCAAGATCAAGTAAAAGTCTAAAGACAGGCAATTTTTCAATGAATCAAAATATTTTAGTTGCAAATATTTTACCATGTGAACTTAAATTATTGATCTCAGGTGATCTTTGTCCTTGTTTAATCTTCGGAGAGTTTAAATAGTCGACTCGTTTTTAAAAGGGTTAGAGTTTATCTTATTGTAGATGGGTTTAATTGGGTTTATTGTAAAATTAAATACGATTTTTGACAAATATCTTTCCAATCTTCATTTTGTTAGTTGCTTATTTTTTAATTTTTAAAAACCCACAGCGATACAATGCTTTCGGTTAAAGTTCTTAGGCTTATTTGTGCTTCTCGAACTTTTACACACACTCACTGGAAGGGAAAAACGAGACGGTGCTCAGTCTTTTGGGGCGATGCAGCTTGCAAAACAAGTTTAGAACTTGAACTTTACGAGAGGGAGAGAGCGCATCGCCGCCCACCGGAAAGAGGGAGAAGAAGAACTATGGCTTCGGAAGGTAAGGCGAAACCTAGGGAATAACCTGAGAATGTGCCTCGCCTCTCCAACAACATCATCCATCGGCGGCTGGCTGTGGGCTATTTCAATAATAAAAGCGCTTGTCGTCGGAGGTGAACTTGACAGATTTAACTTTTTTCAAGTTTCGTTTCGGAAATAACGAAAAGCGGGGCGGCGCCTCGCAACTTTGGCAAGTTAATTTCGCATGGAAGCTACTATGGCTACAGTTTTTGAAAGTTCTTGTGCTGGGCGCTGAAAATCGTCGAAGGCTTTAGCAGGGCGATATGTATTTGTTTCTGAAACAGGTCGACGTTTATATATTTTATATATTTTTTTTTGTTTTGTTTTCAGGTTGCGAGAGCTTAAACAGCTTTTTAGTTAGCTCGTCACATAATGTGAAAGTGTTTATTTGTGTAAACAACTTGAAAATAATTAGTGAAAGGTCAATTGACTTTTTAAAATAAAATTAATTAAATCTTTAAAAAGTTATATGTCATTATAACTTAAGAAACTCTGCATAACTTTCAAACATCTCCTTTAAGATTTATCTTACTATCAAACTGTGTGACTTTAGGAAAATATTAAAAATTATATTTCATTTAAAGAATTAATCAATTAGTAAGATCGTAACATTAAACATTTCTTTGTATTTTAATTGTCTTTGCTATTGTTTGTTATTAAAATGCATGGCATAATAAAATATATGTACTTAAAAGCTTATACTTACACTTAAATTAATTATCTTTCCTACGAAATAAATTAATAAATAACATTTTTATAAATGCATGTTTCAAAAATCCCATATTAAGAAATTGAAATCCACAATAAGTGGACGGATTGTGCCGTCTAGAATTAATATTTGCATTAGGAGAAATCCTTAAAAATGAGACTTCATTAAATGTTAAGAATCTTGTATAACAACAAGTTAATACGAAAATATTATTTTGTACCCATTTCCGTTCGAATCCGACAGTCTTCCCACACGCTCTTTCGTTGTGTGTCTACAAAACCGTTATTCGAACGAACGAATTTTTGTGTCCTGAAATTGCACAACTCATTCGGTGTAGAATTATTGTAATCCCCACCAGGCGCACAGAAACGTTAGGGCGGGGCTATTCACGCCGGCTATCTTCGGAGTGCTTTTCGCCGCGAGCGCTTACCGCTGCGAGTGCGACAGAGACGGCGGCTGTGGACAGCTTTCGCCGCCCCAAAATCGGAGTGCCGACATCTCGCTCACACTCAGTGCTGCACAGTCGGTGAGACCGTACAATCGAGTAGTGCAGATAAAACGCCAGAACGCGAGCTTTTCCGCTGCGGCCCTGTTAATAAATTCACAAAAAGCCAAAATAGCGCGGAACGTATTAATCGGGAAAAAAGTCTAGAGAGGAAAGAAAAGTGCTCGATTTCAGTGCATTCCGCTGACGGCAGTGAGAGATTTGATAATTCAATAAAGTTATAAGTTGACTTATTTTTATTATTAGTGCCGTTAAATTGTATAGATTTTGTCTTAAAATAAAATGCAAATAATGCCGAAATATTTATATTCTTTGGTAAACATTTTTTATACGTTTAATTGATTGAAATAACGATAGTTTTTTTTTGCAAAGTGGATTCGTAAGATACATTCGTTAAATACAGTCTTAAAGATAATTGTTTACCAAAATATTATTTACAAACAATACTACGATTGTGTTTTTATTTTTAAAACAAAACTTGTAACAATAGGCACACTTTAACGCCAGTTCCCAAGGATTTAGTGATTATGACACCGAGCCACTATTTTTTAGTAATAGTTTGGAACATTCAGCCTTGGGAAAATATACATAAGGACTCCTTGTTTTTGGTACCGCTTTCTCTTGGTAGCACTTCTAGGGCCAACCTCCCGTGTGAGTCGCCATGTGTGTTTTAAGATGACGCTTTAGGGGAAAGGCCATCGGACAGAAGTCACATTTGTGTGGTCGTTCTCCAGTGTGGGTCGGGATGTGTTGCTGAAGGTTGCTTTTTTGTGAGAAATACTTCTCGCAATAGGAACACTTGTAGGGTCGCTCTTCTGTGTGCGTCCGGATGTGGCGTTGCAGGGCTCCGGTTTGTGAAAAGGACTTCTGGCACAGCGAACACTGGTACGGTCGTTCTCCTGTGTGCGTCATCAAGTGCATTTTAAGATGATATTTTTGTGAAAAGGACTTTGGGCACTGGGAACATCTGTAGGGTCGTTCTCCTGTGTGGGTCCGAATATGCACCTGAAGGTTTCCCTTTTTTGAAAATGATTTCTGGCAGAATGAGCACTGAAGAGCTTTATGTAGTTCTTCCTCCTTGCTGGTGTCAAGGATATCTTCAGCAGTTCCTACTACAAATTCGGAAAGCTGCAAGGTATCCTCGTCGAAATTTTCGATGGGCTCCTTCTTAACTTTAACTTGGAACTCGGCTCTTTTTGATTTGCGTCTTCCTGAGAGTCCCCTTCGCTCCTTTTCGTTTTGCTTTGTATCGAATTCATTTTGCGCCTCTCCCAGGCAATCTGTGCAAATGGTTTCAGGCAGGGAATCCTCTCTGCAAACCTGAATTCCAATCCATCGAGCAATCATTTCTGCCAGAGAAATTCTTCTTCCCGATTTGCCACTAAAGATATTGACCATGCCATCCGAAGTTTCCTGGCAAACTCTGCAGATATTTCTGAAAAAGACACCAGTTTCATTTATTATGTTGAAGGGATATGAAGTGTTTGCTCTTACTCTTCCATAGTATTGGATTTTAAGGGTAAAATGTTATGTTAAATCATTAAAAGACGACACTCTCTGCTGGTGCGTTGTTTAATTGTTTATTGTTGCAATTTTATCGGCCAGAGATGGGCAGCCTTCGATAACAAAATAGTAAGACCGCTGCGAGATTTTAAAAAATATACTGGAATATACTGGAAAATCCGTTTTGTGGGTTTCTTTTTTTTTTTGTTTTGAGTAGCAAATTTTGTTTAAAATTTTTAAGTAATTTAACAAGTATTAAGTGTCAATTTTCTTTTTTCTAACCATATATTAAATTATTTTAATGGAAGTGTTGTTTTACTTTTATAAAGTTCCTTAAATCTAAAGTAATTTAATTATGATATTTAGAGGTTCACTGCCTTACCAGGCGATGCGATCTAGACACAATCGCTTAAAATTCTAAATCGCTCATTAATTTCTAAGTAATTTGACAACTCTGCCAGTGCATTTCTTGTGCATTCCCTTCAGATTGCAGTCATCTGCGAATGAGTCTATTTTTAACTTTTACAAGAAATTGCAGCAAATAAGTTGCAATTTGTTAATTGTCGCCTCAGCGTTTAGAGGTGAGTGGTTCTTTTACTTAAAAATAACAAGCTGGACTTGAGCCTATTATTTTGGGCCTTATATTAAAAAAAGATAAATTCAATAGTAAACATTTTCAAGTTTTTTGCAATGGTTTAATATTTTCAGAAGTTACATAAGAGCAAGCAGATATGGCGCTGCCCGAGGGTTTGTCCAACAAAATGAAGGTTTTCCAGGTGAGTTTCGTTACCCCTTGGTTTTTTTATATGATTCTTTAACAGTTATGTATGCTTTTTAGGCTGTCAACGAGCTGCCCGTTTTCCTGAAAGGTGGGCCTGCGGACAAAATCTTATTTGGCATAACTGCAGGACTGTGCGGCGTTGGTGTCTTAAGCTTCGTCCATTTGGTCTACACAATGGGATTTGCCAAGAAGAAGGCTTAAATTAAAATTAAAGCGTTAAATAAAAGATTTCTTGATTAAAAAGAGATTCATAAGATATATTAAAAGTTGTTTTTGTTTATATTTTAAAAAGCCCGCCCTGTATATACATAATATTTCCCGAAATCAATAGAGCAACACTGTTACGCTCAGCCCTAGGGTTGGTATTTTAGCGTAGCCAAAACTCTGGTCACACTCAAACACCGTAGAAAAGAAATAAAAACAAAGAAATTTTTGTGTGTTTTGAAAATTAGAATATAGCTGGTATTTCAGACAAAATGGAGCCCAACGATGAAGTGGTGGAACGCCAGAAACTAGTGCCAAACGATGTTGAAACAGAGGAGGAAGCCCAAAGCCAAAGTGCACCGAAATCAGCTCAAACCCCCGCCTCGCCCGCCGTTCCCAATGTATAAAGTTCTCTCCCAATTTTCACGCCCCCCAAAATTATTGTTCTTATTTATGTTTGTATTAGATCAAAATCAAAGGCATCTCCAGTGGGGAGACGACACGCAGCAGAAACTCGGCCTCCTGTTCTATAGAGCGCACGATATCCGAAAAGGAGAAGGACAAGGGCCAGAGCCAGGGACAGTCGACGGCCGCCAAGGTGACATATGTGAACGAGCGGCGGCCACGCCCGCAGGCTCATGCGGGAGGTGGCGGAGATGAGCGCTTCGAGTTCAAGACCAGGCCACGCAAATTGCTCAAAGGTGGGTAAAGGCTATAAACGGACTTAATAGCCACCGTTTCCCATTATTGCCTTTCAGCTGAGAGTTGCTGTGGACGTGCGGCTTTTGGTGTCGTCGGCTGTATGTCTATCTATATGTGTGAATCACGACATTTACATATATATATCTTACCCTGAAAACACTTCTGACTTGTAAAAAATCTACAAACAAAACTTCTCGATTCTATAATTTGCTCACAACTTTAAAATTAATATATTTTTTTTTGTATTGTAAAGTATTTATTTTTAAAAGTTTTAAGTTTCGCACTCAATATATTTATCTTTCTTAAATAGAAACAGTTCCCAATTGTTTCAAAAATGTATCCAATATCTCATTTATTGATAACATATTCAACTAATTGCTGGTTATCATGACCTTCGCCAGCTATGACGCACTTGCCAAGTGTCCATATGCCAGAAATACATTACATTTGATTATTCACAGTCCATAGATATAAATATATATAGAATATAAACATACACACACGCACCTCAGACTGAGGGCTTGGTTGTTATAATTTCAATAATTGAAATTCCCAGGCCTTTAGGAATCATTACCCACCCATGGCCACCCCATGCGAAAAGCAAACAGCCTGCGGATGAAGCTTTTCGTTTTGTCCTGTGCGGTTTGCCTATCCCATCGGTTCGGTTCTCGAGGCGGTGTGTTGTATTTTAGCCATAGAAATTACCTAAAAACCTTTTAATTTACTTCATTTTTATTATAAAACACTCTTTATTTAAAAAGTTTAGCAGTTTCTTTGGTAAATAAAATATTTTGTATGTTTAGTTCTACTTCGTTTTTAATTTAAAATGTATAGTCTTAAAGTTTCAACTAGATTTTAGTAGTTTTTACCTTGGTTTCATATATTCTACAATTTTCTTTGTACTTCACCTCATTTAATATTTTAATTTTAATTATATTTCTTACATTTACTTATGATTTTTTTGTTTCTTGTATTTATTATTTGTTATTTCCATATATTGTGTATCACTTAACGATGTTCAGATCGCGATGAATTGGAACCCACGCACAACAGTGCCAACAGCTTGAATGCCATCACTTTGGTGAGCAGCGAGTGGCTGGCACCTGATCCTTCCACAACCCCCAACAACAACACCACACCCAAAAACATCATCAACAACAATAACAACAACAACAACAACGATAGTTCCAAACCCAACAATAATACAAATAGCAGTCCAAACACACCACGAACGCAGCGTCGCAAAAATAATCCCACAGCTGCGATGCCAAATGCCGCCACCAATGTCCACAACAACAACAACAACAACAATAGTGACAAGTTTGATGATCGTCCAATAAAACACCATTCCTTTGTATCCGAAGTACCCGATGTGAAGCATATGGAAAGAGCGCTCCTTGGACTGCTGGATGACTTTCATTCCGGCAAGCTGAAGGCATTCGGTGAGTAAAATACAAAGTCTTAACTTTCAGATTTGTTCCCTACAATAAATCCGTTTTAATTCCAAGCAGGTTCCGGCTGCACCATGGATCAGATGACCAAGATACGGGAGCAGCAGGAGAGCCTGGCCAAACTGCATTTCGAGCTGGCTGCCGCCGAGGAGGATTCCTTGGAGCATGGCAACGAGTTCAACACCAACAAGGCCCAGGAGAATATGCTCCAGCTGATGCAGCGCCTCGAACAGCTCTCCATTTCCATTGAACAGCTGCAGACGAGCCACACGGGTCTCTGAGAGTTGGCCCTGCCGCAGGCCTGGGATCAACGCCTGCTCTGGCTCTGAGAATGGAGGTGGATTTGTAGGAGTTTTACATGAGATTAGCAAGGAGGGGGTTTTTTCTGGGATTTTCTGTAAATATTTAAGTTGTACGTACGCTTAAGTGGGAGGATCCGGGATAGGCTTTTTATGCTAAAAAAATATTAGTTTAGCAAACAACAACAGAAAGAAAAACTCGCAGTGATTGTGAAACTAATTTAGATTGTCTTCGCATAGCCATAGCAATAGCATTAAATTACAAATTAGATGCAGATGGTGCCAAGTTCTGGTGCTAAAATTAATTATTTCGATTCGATGATTGTGTGCTGCAGGTTATCAGGCTTCAATTAATATGAAAATCTGTTTCGCTTATTTGTTTGTTATATAGTTATTTGCAATATATATATATGCATAAATACATATAAAAATTTTCGGAACTTGGAAACCTATTAAAGTTATCATTTTTATAATAATTGCATATAAAGCGGGGTTTTTTTTTACTGGCTGATTGGTAATTCCCTTTGATATTTAAGCTCCTTTAATTCTTAATTTAGGATTGTTTTTTTAAAGAGTTAAAAAGTCTAAAATATTGCATTAAACTACAAGGCATTTCCTATAATGATACTTTGTTGATCGTTAATCATTTTGATATAGGAATTTTCTCTTGGATTTTTATTTTAAAATATTTAATACTTGTAACATCAATTGCTAGGTTTTTTTCTGAAGAATTAATTTCTTAATTAATTATATAAATCAAATTAGTATAAAATAATATTTATATTCATATCAGCATATTTCTCGTGGCGCTTTCAAGTGTCGGCATTTGTATTTTGTATTTCTTTTAGCAGCCTTTCAGTTCTTATTTAGGAAGCGGAATTCCCTAGCACACCCGAAAATGCGGCGTCCCCATTCCGGCGATTAACATCGGTGGCTCTCAAAGACGCCCACCATGGCGGGAATCCGTTCTGCATGCACAATTTCCATTTCGGGGATGGGCTCCGCGTCAGTGGTGAGAAGTAGTAGTGAACCTTTGGACAAGTGCATTCGTACATAGGAAATTTTATTCCGACGCTGCTGTGAGTTTGTGGTTTAATTTATGCATTTGTATTCAGCCGGCGTCGTCCTCTGGCTCTCTGCTCCTCCTTCTCCTGGGGCTGTCATTGCGCAGTCGCAGCCGGGTTGTGTTTGTTATATTCCTTAGGCTTTTTGTTGTTTTCCTTTATTTTTTATTTGTGATCGGTAAAAGTAATTTGTTGTTCGTTCTTTCTTTTAATGTTGGTGTAAATCCGGGTCTCAAATAACAAGAACTGTACACGGAGAGAAAATTTATGGGGTTTTATTTTGGAGTAAATCAAGTTTGGTTGGGAAATTGTAAAAGCCTTAAGTTTAATAGTAATAATGAGAGTTAAAGACATAAAAGGATAAGATGTATGTATTTATGGATGGATTTTAAAAAATTAATTCGCATAATTTTAAAATATATGTACATAAGTTAAGGTTTTATAATTCTTTCAGTAACAAGATTACTATTTCTTTACTATTTTTACTGTAATTCTACAGATATAAACTATATATTTAAGTACCTCAACCGAAAAAATACATAATTTCGTATCACCAAATTCGCACTTGAGAATTTTAAGTAAACGTTTTATGTAGGAAGTATTTACCAAGAAACCATAAGTACAAATTTTCTAGTTTTTAATTTTTAAATTAAAAATAGAGCAGATTACTGTCAAAATTACTAACGTAATTATTTTTGAATATATTTATCCTATTATAAGAATTTTTAGAGTATAAAACCGTTTTGTTGCAGTGTACTCCCACTTGTTGCTGCCACCATTCCCCCTTTTTAGATTTATTCTTATTATTTTGTCCGCTGCCGTCTATCAACTCTCGAGGTTCTTTCGGGCCTCTCTGCTTAGCTAGCGGTTTAGTGCATTCCTTGGGTCGTCGTTGTCTCCGGTCTCTGGTACCTCCGATCTTCCATCCCATCCCACTCCACCTGACCAGCACATCATTTGCGCCGAGAAATGAAGAAATAAACGCTTGGACCGTCGCATCCGCCACGCTGCATACAAATGCATACCGGCGGACCCAGGGACCAAGGGCGTGGCAGCCACCGGCAACCAGAAACTACCAATGGGGCAAACCAGTAACACGCAACACATCTATCCCAAATTGCTGCCACAAGTGCCACTGCCACCGGCCACCGGCCACCGCCACTTCCACTTCATCGTCCGTGGATCCACGTTCCGTCACGTGCAGGTATGGAGTTGGGGGGGATCGCGGCACACAGGGACAGAGAGCTGGACATGGAAATGGGGAATATCCGCGGCCTTTTTAACCCAGGCAAGGCCCAACCCTGCACTGTACAAATTATATGGGAATTTCAATGAGATTTTGATTTTATTAAATAAGAATTTTATTTAAGAACATTTTTATTAAAAAAAAATCAAGCCTAGCATTAAATGATACAGTTAATAATATTATTTTAAAACACTATCAGTTTATTCTATTCTAAAACTTACTAAACTTATTTGTTCACTGCAACACAACTCTTTTAAGAATTTTTAAACCAAAAAAAGTATCTAAACGATAA